GGTGGCCGTGTGTGGTGCCTGTGTTCCCTCCCCTCACCTGCAGCAGCTCCGCCTTCTCCACTAGGGCCTTCTGCGCACACGGACACCAGCAGGAGGAGAGAGCCCATGGACCAGTTCATTCATCGTGACAGCGCTCTGCTTGTGCAAAGGTGGCTGCTCTGCTTACGTGCTCCCTCTTGAGCTTGCGGAGCGTGTCCCGGACGGCCAAGCCGTCCTTCTTGTACCACAGAGTGCGTTCTATCAACACACACAGTTTGCAGGACACAGGCAGGCAACCATTGTGTCGTTGCTCGTCAGCTCTATTAGTGGGAGGGAGGGAGGTCTTAATTACCATGGTAGAAGCTGCGCTCCTGTAGGACCGAGCATATCTCGCTGCCCATCTTCATGCGATGGCTCGTGTCGAGGTCTGCAAGAGACACACAGAACGAACAGTGAATGGCAGACAGACAGATAGAGAGTTCACCACGATGCAGAATTGATGATGCGTTCCGCCCGCCCTTTTGCATGTTACTGACAATTGTAGACGGTGCGAACCATTGCCGACCAATCGCCCGTCTGCCTCAGCACGAGGATGTCCCGCAGGTGCCCCCCTGGTGCCCATCCCCTCCCTGCGGCGCCTGGATGCCGCTGCGGGTACCGCTGCGCCATGGGATGATGGTGTGCTGCTGCTGCTGCCTGCTGCTGCTGGTGCTGCTGTTGCACTATCTGACACACACTCTGGTGTGTTGTGTGTGTTGTGCGGGCGGGACTGAATTTTCTTTGCGAGCTGAGCACATACTGTACAAATGTGTGTCGTGTCGTGCAGATGTGCACACCTTCTGGCTGAGGCGCTGGTGGTCGGCGTGTAGCTTGGTGTACTCTGCCTGCAACAGCCAATCAATCACACCGACAGCAGAAAACCCAATACATTTATGGACAGATGGTCCGTCGACTGTGTTCCCGACGACTGTGCTCCCGAGTGAGTGAAGTGATACCTGCACGACGAGGAGCTCCTTCTCGGTCTCCTTCTGCAGATGGAACACACGGGTGCTATGGTGTTCATGGTGATGATGCTTTCCTAAAGGGCTGCCTACATGCTGTCTGATGAGCTTTACTTCATAGTCCCGGTGCAGGTGCCTCTCCTTCTTGTACTTCTCCATGCGTTCTACGGACACACCGCAACAGACACACACCACTAATTCTTGCTGATAGAAGAGCTCGTCAGATTGACTAATTATCTACCTTTGTAGAGGGCACGGTCCTCGAGAACATCCTGGATGACGGCGTTCAGCTTGCCTCGCGGCCTGTTGTCGATGACTGCAGGCGACGTACAGAGCACAATAGTGACAGTCCGGGTGCATTCATGCCCGTCTGCTGCCTTTTCGTCTTCCTTACAGGCATAGACGTCACGGAGGAATCTCTTGCAGTCGCCGTCGTCCATCGTCGTCGGAATGTCCGAGTATGTTCAGTATACTAGTATTGTCGCCAAAAGGACAGCTACAGTATTGTCAGATTCAGCTAATCACAGACAGCAAACTTAAATCCTTCGTGTAGGTGGTCCCGTTCTCGCCTTACACTGGCAGGCCTGCGCCTTAGACTGGTCTTGCCCAGGGGTCTTGCCCTTCTTGCCGTATAGCGGCAGCCCGCAGCTCGCCGCTATTATCACCGCTGCCAGCTTGAGGAAGCCACGGCCAGTGCGCTGTCCTAGCGCTTGCCACGCCTAGGCAACGTCTGCGGCTGTTCCATTGCGCAGCAGTTGCCGCCAGCGGATGATGAGAGCTCTGGCACTGGTGAGCTGCGCCATCAAGTTGGTGAGAGCATTGATGTGTAGAGGCAGGAGCGAGGAACAACCGCTGCACACTTGCTGCGCCTGAAAAGAAATGCACCGGTCGGGAAAAAGAAAAAAAGAGACGATCCGAGACTGGTTGGCTCGCGAAAGAAATTCTCGACTGCCCTTCTCGACGCACATGATCCGATTCTCCTTCGCAATCGCATCGCTGGCGCTTGCCGCTGTGGCCAGGTCTCTTTCATGGCACCCCGAAATTGTCGACTTCGTCAGCATCAAGACACTCCGTAAGCCAATCAACACATCTGAAAGAGGCTTGCACTGACGTCCTACGCTTGTCGATTCGAGCAATTCTCGCTCTGCAGGCAGACGTGCCACTCTGAGATCACTGCAGCCCGACAACCAGCTTTGTGGAGCTGAGGAGACCCTTCGGATCATGGCGGCCGACAAGCCCCAAGGCGGCGGCTCTGCAGAGACTTCACCGGCGATTCCTAGACAAGTCTTCATGACGACCGAGAACAAGCAAGTCATGCCTCAATGGGAGAAGAAGAACATCGACAAGTGCAAACGGATGAACCCAGGGTGGGTCTTTCACCTGTATGACGCTGGGGAGCGGATAAGTACATTAAGGAGACATATCCAGGTGTTGTCGATATATGGAAGTACTTCAAGAACAGTGTTGAGAAGAAGGTGAGCCTTCTATGCCTCCTTCAGAGAGCTGGCACGCACCAAAATGCTTTCGAATCACCGAGTGGTCTCTCTCTTTTTGCTGGGCATCCAGGATGTCTTTTCGTATCTCATAATATATGAGAGGGAAGGGCTCTTTCTCGACACTGACGTGGATTGCCGCAGGCCGATAGAGGAGTGGGACGAAGCGCAGAAACACTCATCCAGAGGTTAACAAGACCCGATGATTCAAAGGAAACACGTGTCTCGGTGTGTGTCTATGCATGTGCATGCGTGTCTCGGCGCCTTTGTTCAGGCCTTGTGGGTGCGGAGATCATCAGGCCGGAGACATCTCAGCTTCAGTTCACGGGATGGGCCTTTGCCTTTGCTCCAAAACATCCCATTCTGTCCTCGACGATCGGGCTCATCTGCGAGAAGGTGAAAGAGATGAAGGCGTCTCCCTCATCTGCGGATGCGGTGGAGATCACTGGCCCAGCCGTATACAGCCGGGCTGTCACCAATTACATGACAAAGAGGGGGCTGTCAAAGGAGACCGTCATGGCTGGCGGGGACCATCGTGCCGGTGATGTCTCCATCTTCGGTATCAACCGCTTCGCCCCCCTCCAAGACCACTCGAATGCAACCCAGGACTGCCATCATCCAGACATCTTCCTCATCCACCAGTTCGCCGGAAGATGGAGGGCCAGGTCAGCTGCCGCATCACAAAAAAGAATGCAGCGTCGATATCGCTCCTTTTATGTCTGACATGGTCTTCATTCTGCAGCTACCAGTGGTACACGGCCGATGGCAAGCCCCCCAAGGGTGCGTGGCTGCCTGCAGAGAAGCCCTCCTCGTGGGTCCCTCGACGCTGGGAAGACTATCCGCAGTGACGAGACGTCGGCACACAGACACACACAGAGCGGGCTCTCATATCTCAAAGACTGTGCCATTCAAGTGTGTTCGTCATGTCGATGTGTGAGACTTCTTCCGACTGATGCCACAGATCAAATTTCATGAGATGAGGGGGCCGTGCGAGTCAGATAAGGATGCCGATTGGGAACCACACATAGGCACCTCAACCGACGCACCCTACACTAATGAACATCGCACCTGCAGTCACAGCTGGGGAAAACAACTAGTAGACACATGGACAAGACATGAGATTAAAGTACTGCTCAGGGCGGTCACTGGGTTGGTCGGCTCTCGCACTGTGGGCATGGTGTACCCTCCGGCTGCTCGGCCTCGGCCATGCCTACGGCGTGTGCAGAGCTGGCGTCACGCTGACAGACACACACACACAGAGAGAGACATACAAATGGCTATGGATGTGTGAGGATGTGGGTGGATGGGTGGATGGGCTCCCTCCCTCCCTCCACCCTGCCTGTCTCTCTGCCTGCCTGCCCGTGTGTGTGTGTGTGTGTGTCCGTGTGGGGTTACTGCTCACGTACCTCCGACGATGACTGCGAATGAGAGTGAGAGCATGTGGCGACCCGTGCCAGTCCACCAGATCTGCAATGCAGAATGCGGTCGAGGGTGTCTGTTTGCCTCGCTGCAGCTCTCACCTGGCCTCATGCAACCACAGACGATACCAATCACTGCTACCTCCATGCCCGCCACCGCAGGGTTTAGGGTACGATACCCTACCCTATAACCCCACAGCACCCAGGCCTCTGCTCGTCTTTTCTCCCTTGCGCATCGTGTGCGAGAGCTCGTGGCTGTTTCATCTGCTGGCGCTTCGTCCGAGATGGATTCCGAGATGGATCCAACGACACAGAACGAGGCGCCTCCCGACAGCGCGCTGGACGATGAAGATGCCGCCGTGCTGCGGGAGCTGTGCCCAGACGACGGGCCGCTGATGCCCTCACACGTAAGCCACACACACTCATGCTGAACGCACATGCTTGGATCACGCTCCCTCTCCCTCTCCCTCTCTCTGTGTGTGTTTGTCGACACAGATGCACCCTCCCAGTGATGGGTTCGACACGGGCCTCAACCTGCCGGGCCTGCCAGATGCCCACCACCACCCAAATGGCACCGACTCGTTTTTCTTCCCGCCCCTGGACGATCCCTTCGCCGGCGGGATGGACTTCGGCAACGTGCCCAGCGGTGCAGACCCCACCATGGCGGCAGGAGGGGAGGTGGCAGCCGACCACACACAGCACTCGACCATATGGCAAAGCCACAACTTCCAGGGTAAGCTCACAACGCAGGGAGGGAGAGAGGGAGAGGGAGAGAGGGAGAAGGATAGTTGCATGGACACCTGTCACCTCTCTCTCGTTGTGTGTGTGCCTTGGATGCGGTGCGTGTGGTGTGCAGCACTGGAGGAGGACGAAGACCTCGACCGGATGGTGCGCTGAACGCTGGCTACCATCGATGGACGCGACGCACACACCTCCATCTGGCTTGCGTGTGTGTGTGTGTGTGTGTGTGCAGTTGTTTGAGATGGCCGCGGTATCTCCGTCAGTGGACCCATCACCCACCGCCCGATACGCCAGGGGCGCGAGCGCGGCGGGGTCGTCCAGCCGAGATGAGGCCGATGATGAGGGCGGCAGCCGCAGGGACCAACTGTCCATCAGACCCATACCCAAGAAGTCAGTCAGACAGAGAGAGCTCGTCGTTTCGAGTGCATGTGCATGTGTGTGTGTGTGTGTGTGTGTGTGTGCAGGAAACGCAAGCCTACTGGTACGACGCCGACCCCAGCTGGTAGGGTGGCCACTGGCGTATCGGTCTCTCCCCAGCCAGCTGCTGTCAAGCCCACACCGCCTCCCCCGCCACCGCCACCGCCACTTCCACAGGGAACGGCAGCCATGTCGCAACAAGCACAGGTCGGTAGGGACACACAAGACGCACCGCATTCAAGAAGAAGACTCTTGCCTGTGCCTCTCCTCCTCTCCTCTTTGTGTTTAGGTGGCGTCTTCATCCGCAGCTGCGTCATCGGCCCCCGAGCAGCCGGAGGCTCCATCACAGCCACAGCAACAGCCCCCACCACAGCCATACCCCTCGCCGCCAGATCGACCCAACGACCGTGATCGTGACCTCCGCGAGCCAATGCGTTCATCGGGCTCACGTGAGCGCTTCTGCGACAGGAGGGACGACCGGCCGCCGTTCCGTGACCGTGACAGGGACCGAGGCCGTGACCGTGGCCGAGACCGGCAGCGGTTCAGCCCACGAGGGCGTGATAGGCGTTGGAGTGAGCGTGACGCGAGGAGCCGCAGGAGCCGCAGCCGTGACAGGGACCTGCGAGACAGAGAGTGGGTGCGAGACCGAGATCGGTCTCGAGATCGGGACAGAGAGAGGGAGAGGGACCGACCGCCCAGAGAGAGGGACAGGGAGAGGGAGCGGCATGGCCGCCATGGCGTTGTTAGAGATAGAGACGGCAGTAGGGAGGAGCCGAGGTGGTCGCCCGTCGACAATGACACCGGTGCGGCGATCTGCGAGATGATGAGTGCAGACGAGATGCAGCGGGCCCTGCAGAGCGTCTTTCAGCAGAGCATGGCGGTCAAGCAGCAGGGGGGCGGACAGCAGCCGACTGCCGTAGGCGGCGGCGAAGGGGCTGCAGCCGAGAGTCTGCCTTTTGGGCTGGGTTTCATCGAGGAGCTCAGACTCTCGCGAGCCGACCTGACTAGGTGGGTGAGGGGGACGCAAATGGGAGGGAAACGGGAAGACAGAACAGGCTAGGCTTGGTGGTGCATGGTGCCTCTGTGTGTGTGCCTTGGATAATGGGATGGTGCTTCTCAGGTTCCTGCAGCTGCCTGTGGTCACGGCTCGCCAGTGCACCACAGGAGGTGAGCAGGGAGGGAAGCCCCAAGGAGGGGCCAATCTTGCATTTGTGTGTGTGTGTGTGTGTGTGTCTGCCTGCAGCTCTAGCTCGTGTGGTGAGTGGCCCCCCCAAGCCCGGCACCAACGTCAACACATTCGAAATCGCCGAAATCACAGGTTAGTAGGCCGGCGGAATATGCGGCTCTTCTCAGTCCTGTCACTTGAGTGGTGGCCTGACTGCTTCAGGTCTGGCGGAGTCTCCCCCGTATCGCGTCGACGAGTCCACAGTGGCCTTTTTCATCGAGATACGCGTCAACGACTCGACGCAGCCCGTTCGAATCACACAAGTGTCCAACCAAGTAAGAAGGAGAGAGAGAGAGAGAGACGCCATGTGAGAATGCTCCTACGTTGCTTGGATGTAGCCGTTCCTGGAGAGCGAGTTGCGCGGCTGGGTGACGGCGTTGTCGGCCAAGGCGGTGAGTGCGGGTCTGCCCACCGATGCCTTCCTGCTGGCCGTCAAGGAGGGCCTGCAGCAGAAGAGCACCGACCTGCAGACAGCCAAGAGACTGCTCGCCAGCGACTCTGGGGTGAGCATCCTATGCCGTGCACCCAATCCACCACCGCACGCAAAGCACAGCAGAGATACTTACATGTGTGTGTGTGTGTGTGTGTGTCTGTGCCAGACGGGCGGTGGTCAGTCTTCCTCAGCTGTGATTGGTGCGGGCTCGTCTGAGGGGTCGGTGACGGGCTCCCCTGGGAGGGGCGCATTGGCAGCAGGCGTGAGCCTGAAGGCCAAGAGCAAGGCCAAGCAGCGGAAGTCCAAGACCGTCACCGTCCCTCCCGGCCACCAGGCCGTCTACAAGTGAGTGAACGGATCCGCGAGGGGGGAAACGGCCATAGGTGTCTGTTTGTCATGGCGGTGTGTGTGTGTGTGTGTGTGCGCTGCATGTTGGTTGTGTCAGGTTGTCAGATGAGGTGCAGGCCATCTTGGGCATAGAGGGGGGCATACTAGACGTCATACTCAAGGTGGGAATCTTGAGCGCACAGCACACGCATCTCATCTCGTCGTCTGCCCTTGTTCCATGCTTGTGTCTGTCTCTCTCGTGTCTGCAGCGTTTCCGCGATCACTGCCAGAGCAAGAACCTCATGATGCCGGGACATCCAAACGTAAGACCTTGCCGCCACGCCGCGATCTCTGCAATATATCTCTTTATGTGTGTCGTCGTTCGTCTGCCATCAGGTCGTGCTGTGCGGCGCCGACGAGCAGCTGGAGCAGCTATTCCACTGCCACTCACTCAAAATCGGAGACGTCCAACAGTAAGCCAAGCCCCAAGCCGTGCCGGACAGGAGGGAGCAGCACACATGAGGGAGGACACACACGACATTCTTGCCCTGCATTGTGTCTGTGTGTGTGTGTGTGTGTCTCCGTAGTCACCTGAAGGCGCATTTGGTGGTGTGCGGCAGCGTCCCCATCGAGGACGACCAAAACGGCGCCGACAAGGCCCCATCAGCTGACACCCCTTCAGCAGCAGCAGCAGCAGCAGCAACCAAGGAGGCCCCATCCGCCATACCAGCACTAGCACCAGAGGCCGACGCTCCACTGGCCCCAGCACACACGCCACAAGACGACAAGAACGGTGAGGCAGCCCAGCAGGACGCGCCCAATAGCCACCAGAGGCAGCTGGAGCGGCTCCCATCGCAGAAGAGTGACGACATCACCATGGGCTTCGGAGCGGATGATGGAGCTTACGGCGGCGGCATGGTGGACATGGCCACCTCGCCCACCAAAGCCGCGGTCAGCAAACGAGACGGCTCGCCTGACAAGGCGAAGGCGGCCACCGCCGACGAGAGCAAGAGGGAGGACGACACGAGCAAGTCGTCGCTTCTGCCGAAGCCCCCCGACCCCCCGACCGATCGCGCGCCCAAGGAGGTGCTGGACGGGCAGCTGATGGAGATGTACATGCTGATGACGAGCGGCAAGATCCCACCGCTGGTGGCCGACGAAATGCTCGGCATAGAGGCAGCAACAGCAACAGCAGGAGGGGCCGCGACAGCCGACGGACCTGACACGGGCGCCACGACAGGTGAGGAAGAGAGCGGGCATGGCTGGGCCCCTCCCTCCACCCACGCCCATTGTGTGTGTGCTGCCATTGCAATGATGTCAGGGAACGGCTCAGGGGCTCCTGCTGACAACGGCAAGAAGGACAAAGAGGGCGGCGCGTCACGCCGCCGCAAACGCCAATGGACCGATGGCCCCGCTGCACCCCAACCATCAGCGAGCCAGCCCAGCCCCATACCCACAGTCATCGGAGCGACACAGCCACCACCACCCCCATCTCCTTTGGCAACGAGTGTCGGTCTGGACCCCTCTCTGCCCCTCAACGTACCGCCAGAGCTCGCCACGGCGCTGCTGACGCTGGTCACACAAGGCGCACAGGCGAACGTGCAGCCACCAATGCCGCCTCCCGCCCCTTCCATCTCCCACACACCACCTGCAGTGCCGGGCCCTTACCATCACCCACCGAACGAGGCACTGCTGCGATTCGAGCCGCAGAGGCGCGGTGTCGAGCCGCATATGGACGCTGGTGGGGGATATCCGCCCCTGCGTGAGGCGATCATGGAGTCGCGCTACCCGCGTCCACACGACGACAGTCTAATGCACGGGTAAGGCAGGAAGGACACAGACAGACAAGAACAAATGATCATGAGTGTCTTACTGATTGGCGTTTTGCCTTTGTCACTCAACTCAGAGGCCCTCCTCCCCCTCCGTCGCTCACCTTCCGGCCCGGCAGAGGTCGTGTATGGTCGCCCCGCATGCGGCCTCCCCCTCCCCCGCCCCCTGACGACATGAGAGGACCAGGCATGCATAGCCCGCCCATGAGAGACGGGAGGGAGTACCCCCGCGGCCCTCGGCCAGCCCCATGGCACGAAGGACCAACGCCAGCTCCGTGGCACGAAGGACCAAAGGGTGAGTCGCCAATTGACAGGCCCTGGCGGCCGCCGCAGCAACGTGGGTGGGACCTGCCAGGGCGTTCTGTCCCGCCCCCACCTCCACCGCCGCCTCCCGACAGCCACGACAATCATTCTTCAGGATCGCCGAGTCGCCCCGCACCCAACCCCGCCATGATCCCTGGGCTTGGGCTGGCCCAGGCTGTCGGCCAGCGACCACCGATGATGCAGATGGATGGTGGGATGGATGGGCCCATGCAGCCTCCCAGAGCTCCTCCATTTAGCTACGATGATGGTCTAGGTCCCCGTGAGTGGGGGAGGGGCCGAGGGGGGCGGGGAGGGAGAGGGGGCGGCCCGCCTAGAAGGTCATACTATGATGGTGTTAGATGAGCACACTTAGATAGATGCCTTACCTTGCCTTGCCTTGCCTTGCCTCTGCTATGCATGTGTGTGTGGACACTCGTGCGTGGCGTGGATGCTCCCATTCCATCCATCGTGTGTTATGTTGTGTTGTGTAAGCCAGACAGTGGTATGTGGGTGGCGGTTTGGACTGCTTTGCTTGAATCAGGGACTGACTCATTTCTTGCTCGAATGCGTCGTTAGTTCTGCCTGCAACACACACGCACTCGATTCAGCAAAACAGACGAAGTCCGACTATCCATTGACACGGGCTCGTCAGTCAGGTCACTGAGATGCTCGCCAAGGCTCATGGTCTGCAGGGCGTCTGAAAGACGCTGTTGCCCCTCCAATCAGCACATCTCGTTTGAATGCGTCTCAGCCGACACATCCCAAACGTGATATGCTGCACGAGGAGAAACAGCGCCCTCCGAGCAGCCCTGCCCACATCAAGACGAATTAGCACATCACCACGCACGCCCCACATAAGGAAGTCTAGCGCTCCATCTCGGAAGCACGAAAAATGCCCTCTGTGTACACATCACCCCCCGCCCCCCAACCCACCAGCAGCAACAGCCGGCCCCCCCTCCCTCCCTCCCTCCCTCTCCGTGATATGTCTTTCAATTCCGTGGTGTGCCGGAGAGTCTGCAGAAGTTGGACGCGAGTATCTCGCTGCGTGTGAGTGGGTTGATGGCGGTGTTTGCCGTGCCCTCGTTGAACCACTCGAGCAGCGCCTCGCCCTTGAAAAAGTAGCAGTGCGTGCCGCCCCTGGCCTGGTCGTCCTCAAATATCACCACCACATCGTTCTTGACGTGTTTGGTGGCGGGGTCGAACAGCTCGTCGAGCGTGATGGGGCAGCTGATGGGCTCCACCGCCGGCAGGTTCTCGCCCAGCTGGCTGTCCAACGCACTCAGCAGGGCCCGCTTCCGCCTCGCTGGAAGGGCTCTCACCGAAGACGCCGTGATGCCGTACCGGTTCGTCAGCCGCTGGTCGAGGGCAGATGTGGCTGATGGCGACGCATGGGCGTGTGTGGCGTCATGGTGGACGTCGTCCCGCCTCGCTGAGTGGTCGGGATTGTACCCGTAGCTGGCAGAAGGGTTCTCGATCCACGCTGCTGATGAAGATGAAGCTGAGGGCGAGCAGTGGACACCGCTGCTGCTGCTGCTCGACGGCGCACTACTGGCTGCGGCGTCGTCTGGCATGGGGGGCTCGACGAAGTCGGACGGCAGGAGCTGTATAAGTATGGCGAGAATCTCGGCGTTCTCGACGGTCTCAACGTGCGGCTGGACGAGCAGTGCGATGCTGCGGAGCGAACGCCACGCCTGACGACGGTGGCCGCGACCGATGGAATTCAACACCTGCATCAAACACACACACACACACACACAAGAAGCGGTGGGGGAGTGGTGGCACACTCTTCCTTCTTATGTTGTGTGTGTGTCGCTGTGTCACCCACTCACCGCGTGGAGCATCCGTTTGATTTGTCCCTTGTGGCTTCTGGGCAGCGAGGGCATGCATCGGCAGACGGCCTGGCAGATGCTCTCGACCGCCAGCTCCTGCGCAAACGCGATGGCTATGCTCCGCACCGCTCGCCACATCATGCCCATGAGCGACAGCGACTCCTCACTCGCACTTGGCGACTCATTCATCTGATGGACCAGACACGAAACACGACGGACATAGCGTGCTGCCATGCCAATCCCCGGTGGCTTGTTGAATCTGGGTCACCTGAAGACGTTATTGTTGCAGTTGAACGACAGTGCTGTATCAGAAACACCAGAATGGCTCGGGAGGGCCCTCCTTCCTTCCTTTCCTCTCCCCTGCCTTGCGAGCTCAACTGCGAGCTTTTGAGCTCTCTTTCACAGAGTGTATCATGGCGTGAAGAGCCCGTTGAAGCCGCAAGACAGCACTCCGATCCATAGCTTTCGCGACTTGGTCGCACGATGGCTGCCAGTGCCGCCGCCCAGGTGAGAAGAGGGAGCTGCAGGCCAGGCAAATCCCTACATCATGACGTGAATCACTTGTGCTGTCTGTGTGTGGTTTGTCATTCGGTTTGGTGCAGATGAGCGCGGTGATACGGGCGCAGCTGCTGCCCCAGGTGGAAGGCTATCGGACGAAGCAGGCTCAGGTATCAGCTGACCAACACACAACCGACTCGTCCATTCCATGCAGTGCATCCAAAGCTCATCGGCTGCTTGTGTGTGTGTGTGTGTGTGTGTGGTGTGTGCAGGTCAACAGCTGCATCGACCAACTTCTGCAGATGGACACCGCTGCTTCGATGGCACCACTAGTGCGGCAGGCTGCCAAGCACACCACACACCACAAGGCCCTCTGTGTGTCTGTGGAGTCTCCTTTGCTTGGCGTTGCTCTCGTCGTGTTGATTCATTCGTCAGATGGTGGCCAAGGTGAGTCGTCAATTTGCTGCTGTGTCGAACGTGCTGGCCGAGTTGGCAGAGACCATCAACTCGACCATCGCACTCACAAGACATCGCCGCACACATGTGAGTGGGGGAGTGACCACAGGCAGGCACAAACACAAGACCCACACTGATGTGGTGTGCACCTCTTATGTGCTGTGTTGTGTGCATGTCCTTCTGTCTGTGTGTCATCAAGCGCGACGGTTGCACCTGACTGACATTCCCGCCAACCCCATGAGCGTCATCCTGGAGCTGTCTGACCTTACCGCCGTCGCCCACCTCAAGTCGACAGCCCGACCCATCAAAAATGCCCTCCGGCCGATCGTCCGCCGCCTTCGGCTGCCGAAGGCCATCGAGCGGGTGGGGCTGAGTGGTGTGGTGCAGTTCGACGATCAGCTGAGCCACGGCGATGTGATGAAGGCCATGTGGGTGGTGGAGGAGGGGGGCGAGGGCGGCTGGCGGGAGGTGGCCGACACACTGAGACTCTCGGAGCACTGCGGCTATTGCCAGCTGCCGGTCACTATGACTGCTGGAGACCTGCCGACACACGCCACCAAGGCGGTAGACACGACACACAGAAGAGGCAATAGGCGAGCTGCTGGATGTTGGAGTGTGTGGTCTTCATTCAGGACTTCTTGGCGCTGCCCCGTTTCTGTGCCCAGTGGATGCTCGTCGGCCGGCGTGTGGCCTTTCGCCGCCCCACTGGCCAGCAAGACGGCACACTCGAGCTGTTTCGCCACAACAACGAGCTCCGGATCATCCGCAATCAGCCCGGCTTCATCATCACGATCAACCCGCCCCTCCCCCAGCCCAACCGCCCCGTCCATCCCTTCTCGCAGCACCCCTTCACCCACCACGCCAAGCCACACGACCCGCCCGTCCGCCACAACATTCAGTGGCAGAACGGTGTGGGCTGGGCGACAGTTGGTGTCAACAATGGGCCCGTTGACGCATCGGCGAGTTCCATGCTGAAGCATCTGCTGCTAGTCACCAGGTGTTGGCTGTGGGCGGCTTCAACCACTCGCCAACGGTAGTGGTGGACCGGTGAGTGGATGGACGGCAGCTAATGAGAGGGCAAATGGCTAGGTGGTGCGTTATTGATGTGTCTGTCAGTCGTGTGCGTGGGGGCCACCTCGACCGCATCATGACTCGATCACCACACACGGCCCTTGACGAGTGCTCAGACGTGACGGCATTTGAGGCGGCCAGTGGGACCTGTGCGCGGTCGCATGTGCTGATGACGGCCGCCGACCCGTTCATCGCATACATTTCCTTTGTCCTTCTCCCAGCTGACAACCAGGACGGTACGCATTCACGTTGACAACACATCCTCATGCTGTCGTGTCGTCTAATCATCTGCTCTCCTGTTGTCTGCATGCAGTGCACGTCATCATCACAACCAGCGAGGCCCCAGCAGCAGGTGTCCCTCATGACGCCCCCTTCGCCCAGCGATTCCCCCTGACTGCCGCCAAAGTCCGTCGCATCCTCGGTCCCATCGCACCCATCGTGCTCGACGGCCAGGCGCCTTAGGTACGGGGTGGGGAACCACCCCGATGATGCAGAGAGTACCTGGTGGTACGGATTGTGTGGGTGTTGAGTGTGTTCTGCAGGCTGACTGGCGCCAAGGAACCCCACAGAAGTAGCTGACTGACTGACTGTCTGGCGGGCGGGCGGGCGGCAGGGCGGGCTGCGTGTCTGGTGGTGTGTGCATCTCATATCTGCTACTGTGCATACCACCAGAGGTGTGTTAAGTTGGGCCTAGGGCGTTGCGTGAAACTGCTCGGTCGTGATTGATGGAGATCAGCTTGATGACCAGAAGCGGCACGACGGAAGTCTGACGCCGGATGCAATGGAAGATCTTCGTGCTGGCACTCACCGGGCGGCAAACGCCTTCGCCCTCCTCAGCCATGACGCTTCTGCCGCTGCGGACAGGCTCTACAGCTGCTGCATTCGTCTCGCCTACCATTCGCAACCGTCCGGCTTCATTGCGGGGAAGATGGCACCCCACGATGTCTGCCAAGAGGGGCAAGAAGCGTCGGGGGAGCTCTCTGCAAGCACCGTCGTCTGGCCCCTGCCGTCTGCTGCACCTCTATGTGTGCCCCGATGAGCTGAGCCACGCCGCTGATGTGTCGCTCCGGGCTCTGCAGCTGCTCGAGGCCTCACACGTCATCGTCGTCGGAGATACGTTCGAGGAGGGCGGCAACACTCTTTGTCTGCGCTGCCCACCGTCTGTGGGTCGCCTGCTGGGAGCTGCGATGCGGGGGACGACTCAGAAGACTGTGTTGGCCTTCTTATGTGATGAAGATGGGAGGGAAGCCGAGCTGGTGCGCCTTGAGGGTGGAGAGACTGTGGCCGATCGGCTCTCTCTCGAGGCGGTGCTGGAGGAGGCGACGAGTTCTGACGGCCGCCGTGTGTCGGTGTTCCTGCTCTACTGTGGAAACGAGTCTCTTGGAGTTGGGCAACAAGAAGGCCGGCTGGCTCAGTGCGTGGCATCGATCACACAGACTCTCACAGAAGACGACAATGGCTGCAGGCTTGAGATCCTGCCGAGTCCCGACACCTTTGTGGCTGCTCTTTCTGTGGCCGGCATATGTCACGACCGCCGCAGCGTTTCGCCCATCGTCATGATCGACAAAGCGACAATCGACTTGGTCGGCGACGTCACTGCGGACATTCGTGAGGGCCGTGTGGTGGCTCTGCGGTGCTCGACTGCTGGAGAGGCCCACACACTCGTTCAAGTGAGCAGCTATGCGCACAGCACAGACAGGGAAGGCTAAGTGTTCGCGTGTCACCGTATTTCTTCAGGGTCTTTGTCAGCAATGGATAGACGCAGCCAATGATGGAGAAGAGGCCCGCGAGCCGGTCGTTCTGTGCATCGGAGGCAATCCCTATCTCAGTCCGGCCCCTCTCGCCGAGCCGCTGAGTGAAGACCCGACAGTCATGTGCCGCCTGCCTTTGTCTGAGGCAGAGAGGTGGCTGTCAGCACTGGTGGAGGCCCAGGATGCAAGAGAGAGGGATGAGGGCCGTGTGTATTGGGATTTGCCTGGGTCGCGTGTGCGTCTGTGCTTCGAACAGGCAAGGAGTGTGATGCTAGTTGTGATTCCTCCTGAGCGTGCCTTCCCGGCATCCTTTGACTGGGACTCTTTGGACTATGCATGAATGACACACGTGTATGAGCTGGAGAAGTTCGTTGGCCTCCCACTGTATAGTGAACCATGCATGCTTGCATCCGTGTTGTGTTCAATCCTAACTCTCTCCGCCCGAGAAAGAAGCAGCAGTTTTTTCGTTTTGATCTCATCTCATGGCTTTGTCAGTGAGCAGTGCCTCTCTTCCTTCCCTTACCGGCCCCGACCCAATCAACACCGCAGACAGAGGACTCCAAACCGAGTGAGTCAGCACACATGGAGCGAACAATACGTCAAGAACTTGAAGCCCCGGTGTGTTTCTCTGCCTGTGCGCCGCCTTTCTGCCTGCAGTAGCTTGGTTGAGGCCATTCGAGGTGCGCTGCATAACGTGTTCCTCATCAATACGACCAAAGATGAGCGGACGCAGCAGTCAAGATACACATTCCAGTGCTTCCAAAACCTCATCGGTGAGTCACTGAATCATCGCGGACAAAGCCGGTGGGTTCAACAGTTCATTCATTGCTGTGTGCTCGTCTGTCTGACTGTTGGTTGTCAGATGACTACCGTGCCGCTCCTGAAGACCAGAGGGCCCAAACCAGGCTGGCCCAGCTGTGCAGGGGCGTAGCTGACTTCTTCACGCCACTGCCCCTCGTCAAGGTGCGTCCGCTGTTTGCACGATGGGCGCATAAATGGATGGATGGATGGATGGATGGGCGGATGGGCGCAGGCGTTTGACATCTATGACAGCAAGTACTGCATGACGTCCCGCCAGTTCGTTGGCCCGTCCACTGATGAGGTCCGACACATACTGAATGTGGCGCAGGTCAGTCACGAAACAAATCAAGGCAGTGCAGTGCATAGTCGTTTCAGCCCCATCCACTCACTCTTGGTGTGTGGTGTGTATGCACTCGCGGGCGCGTGTAGGTGTTGGCGCTGCGCGACAGTGTGCGTCTGATCACATTTGATGGCGACGAGACGCTCTACTCGGATGGACAGTTCTTCAATGACGGTAAGTAAGGCACGAAGCTCAGCTCCCATACACACACACACACATCTCACCTTGATGGCCATGTGTGTATGTGTGTGTGTGTGTAGTGAAGCTGGCCTCCTTTCTCACCCAGCTCCTCAAGAGCAACGTCAACATTGCCCTCGTCACTGCAGCAGGTCCACTTCGCACAGCACACACAAATGACCAACGCCATCTGTGTGATTGTGTGGATCATAGTGTCACGCGTAGGTTACGGTTATGACCACGAGAAGTACGAAGGCCGGATAAGAGGTCTGCTGGACTTCTTTCGTCAGCAGAAGATTAAGCCCCACGTCGTATCCAGGTTCTTCGTCCTCGGGGCCGAGTGCAACTTCCTGTTCCGGTGAGTGTGTGGACAGCTAGCTAGATGGCATGTGTCACGTCATGTGGTGAGTGCCGTGTCGTGTTGTTCTGCTGCTGCTGCTGCTGCTGGTGTCTGTGTCAGGTGCAACGGCTCTGATGACTACCACTTGAGCCCTGTGTTTGAGGACGAGTGGAAGCCCCTCCAGCCGGGCTTCCGATTCGACGAAGCCCAGTGCAAAACTCTGCTGGACCTAGCACAGGCACGCGCGGGCAGCACAGCCATGAGGGGTCCAGGCATACCTAGCTCCGCAGTGCCGTGTGTCTTTTTCTGTCTGTTATCAGAGCACCATGGAGGATGCGATGAAAGACCTCAAGTTGCGCGTCAAGCTCATCCGAAAGGAGAAGGCTGTTGGCATCGTACCTGGGGGATACGAAGGTACGGAGATCCAAGGCAGCCACATAGCCAGAAACGTCGGCCTCCCGTGCGCTGATGTGATTGATGCAGGTCGTCATCTGGTGCCGGAAGGTTCGGGTGCAGGTGGCCTGCGCCGCGAGATTCTGGACGAAGTAGTGCTGCGCATCAAAGACGCCATCAGACAAGCCGGTCAGCCCTCACACTCGCGTGCCTGCAAACATGTTCATAGGCGTGTGTCTGTGTGGAGTGTGTGTCAGGCCTGACTGTGCCGTTTTGTGCCTTCAACGGAGGCAATGACAGCTGGGTGGATGTCGGGAACAAGTTCGTGGGCGTCTTGGGTCTGCAGCACTACCTCGATCTCAAGCCACACGAGTGCCTGCATGTGGGAGACCAGTTCCTGAACACGGGCAATGACAGAGCCACGAGGTACGCACACGCACACACACACACACAACTCACCGAGCCAGCGGCCGATTTGATGATGTTGTGTGTGTTGGGTCTTCGTCTATGCAGGAGTTGTGCCACAACAGTGTGGATCAAGAACCCCGAGGAGACCAAGGCCGTGCTGCGTGCCTTACTGCGAGTGCTCAAGCTGCACTGGCGGACCGACCTCTGTCTGGACCGGCGCCTGACCAACGAACTCACAAGCTCAGGGAAGCTGCACCTACATCCGCTGGGAGACAGCTCCACGGCGCAGAGCACCAAAGCGGTGGTCATCGAGGACAGAGACGGCACGGAGGAGGACTCAGATGACGACCAGTGCTAGAGGAGAGGAGTGGGGGGACGGGTAGTAGGGCAGGCAGTGCTGTGTTTGTGTTTTTCTGTTGGTCGATATGGCTGTATGTATGACAGCTGTCCTGTGAATGGCTCGACCCTGTTGGTGTGTAGCTCAGCTGCATGGCTCGTGCCGTGCCGTGGGGATGGATTATTCAGGTAATTGTCAAACATTCATGTCGGTTGCGCGGCAGACATCACGCAGAGGCAGCAGGTGATCAGTTCTTCAACTCTTTGCTCTGATCTGCATACGCGAGAAAGGACCATGGTCGCATGCGTGTCATCCGTCTCTTCTTGCGTGGGCGGGAGGCTTACCATTTGCCTTCTTCCTGAAGTACTCAGCTGCCCACTCATAGATTTTCTGCTTCGCCAGCTCAACATCTTCATATTGGCGACGGACACACACAGACAGTGAGACAGACACCAAACCGTCAGTAGAGAGACATTCTGCCGTCTTGCGCACCCTTTTCGCTCTCCACGGGGTTCCTTCTGATGATCTGGGCAGGCAAATACGGTGAAATAGTTCACGAGTCAATCATTGTCGTTTTTGCCGCCCGCTGACCTCTTTCGTGAACTCCTTAAGCACGAGGGGCAGTTCCTGTGGGACGTTTATCTGCTCGGCGCAGAAGATGCGTTCGTGGTTGACGTCAGTCATTGCAGCGACAGCCCCCGCGACCGACCTGGCGAAGGCGGCCCCCACCCGCCCCCCCCTCCTCTGCAAGCTTAGCGCGCGACGATCGGGCCGCTTGCACCTCTTGGTCCGGCCGTGACTCGTAGAGCTTAGCGGAAGCCGTGACTCTGTAGAGCTTTGTTTCGGCGCGGGGCTTGTGGTAGTAGTTTTTGTGGCCTCTTCAAGTCTTTTGTGGCTGTAGCATCCGTCGATGACGGACGTTTCGGGGTCGGGCCCGAAGGATCTGATTGGCTATCAGCCATGACAGGAAGCCCTTTTTGGTAGGCGGCTGCAAAGGCGCGCTCAGACCTCCCGGCACCCCATTCTCTTCCTGGCCTGCCTGCCTGCCTGCCTGCAGGGGTGCTCTACGTCATGGATTCATCCACCAACGAGAAGCCTGAGGAAACGATCATCGTGGGCACAGGTGGCTTGGCTTCTTACGTCAAGAAGGGCTGCAATGGTGGCACCGCTGTTTTTGTCTTTTATTGTAGGTTTGCGTGTGCCGTTGGCCCAGTATGTCATGACAGCGGTGGTGTTCGTGCTGGACCTGCTCCAGCTGGTTCCGCTGCTGCTGCCGCTTAACGAGGCGCTCGAGTGCGACAAATGGGATCTATACGATGCGGGGTGTCTCCTGGGACTGTTCACGTCGCCATTCGAGATACTTGCGGGTAATTCTGTGCCCAGGCTCGTCAACTGGTGGTCTGCGTCTCTATGTTGTCTGTGTAGGCCATGAAAAGGTGCAATACTTCGTTGTGGTCGGTCTGCTGTGTACTCTCATTCTTTTGACGGCCGGCGTCGTGGCGATAGTTGCTCAAACCTTCAAGTCCAAGGAGGTGAGAATTCGTGCCATCTGTGCCATCCACCATTGGAGTATTACGCACCTGGTTTGTTCAGGTCCACTTGATCACACCGATCATCCTATTGCGCGGATTCGTCCGAAGGTACTAAATTATTCAATCACCTGTGAGGCACGTTCCTCCTGGTTTCCCCTGTCAGCTTTGTGACGACCTTTTTCTCTTCATCCGTGGCTGTGCTGATGTCGCTCTTTTCGTGCCCGCTGATGCGCGATCGCCTGACTGACTCGGACTTTGCATGTTGGGAAGCGTTTCACATCGTCATGCTCTTTCCTTCCATTGGAGCACTCTGCTTCCTGGTATGGTTTGAGGGGTGTGTGGGGCTCCGCGGCGCCTTCATTTGATTTCTCTTTCGAACTGTGTCTCAGGTGCCTCTCGGTTTGGTGACAGCTCTGCTTTACAACAATTTCAAACCCTTTTCGACGGATTTGACAGTGCAGGCACATGGAAGAGCCGAATTCTGGTCGGTAGTGATCGCGGCGGCGGTCGGTGCAGAAATCGAGCTGATGGGTCTTTGTGTGTCGGTGCAGGTACACCGCGACAAAGACCCTGATCAATGTCACCTTCATCGTGGCTGTGTCCTCAAATGGCCTCGCCATCTACTGTTCTGCCGTCAATTTAATAGCGCTGGGCTACGTCACTCTCCTGTTCTTCACGCAGGCCCCGTTCTTCCACGACGCAGCCAACAGAATGAGGAACGGTATCCTAGCCATCCTTCTCGCCATCAGTATCTTCAAGCTGATAAGGGGAATACGTGGAGTCGACGTAAGCAGAGTTTATTTTTTACGACACGATGCACAGAACGTCTCTGGCTTTCTCTCTATGTGTCTGTCAGGACCTGTTAATCCTCGGCGGGTGTCTATTTGTGTTGCCGCTGGGGGCATGGCTCGCCTTAGTGCGCAAGAACCGGTTGAAGGACATGGTGATCGCCGAGATGCACGCACTCTCAGCCGTGCATTCAGAAGAATACAACTCTGCAATAATGTCGATTTTAACGGAAGAAACAGGAGAGGCCCCTAACGAAAAGTGAGTGGGGTTGGGGGGGGAAGGGTACTGCAGCTCTCACTCAGTTGCTGGCTGGTTTCTTGATCAGAGCGGCCGACGCCAAGAGCGATGACAGTGACAGCCTGGCGAACAGGACACACGAGCGGGTGGCCAGTCGTCTGGCCATCATGGAAATGCCCGTTGCTGATGAGGCCACAGTGCCGGCGGGCTCTCTCACACGACGACCCACCGTGACCAGCACGGTCATCGCCAACAGACGGATCCTCGGGGCTCGAACGGAGCCCAAGGAAAGGGATCCAGCGGACTTGGTACGAGACCGGATGAACTCGTACAGGTGGGTGAGTCGACAAAGAGTCGCGGGCTGTGTCCAGTCGCACATACATGTCCTGACTTTATTCGCCAGGCTTGCACAGCTGCGATCGAGCGTGATATGGGAGACCGATCTCGAATTGGTGTTGCGCCTTTTTCGCGACGAATGGTCCGTCACCTGCACAATCCGTCCCCTCACACACGTGTGTGCTTTGGTGTCCCTTCAGGTTCTTGTATTCAGACAAAGAGAAGGCGCTGGCGAAATAGGTGACAAAAGCAAGTCATGCGCAGGACGATAGTGCGTGTCACGTATACGTGCAATGCGCATCACACTTGTCTCTCTGTAGGGGAGTCATGATGGAGACTATCCTGGCCATTCTGCAGTCCACCAACTTCACAGCCTACACATACATGGTAAGAAACGGACAAAGAAATTACTCGTTGATGCCTGCCTCGTATGTGTGTTTTCATTCCAGTGGCTGGCTCTCGTAAATCGCTACTTCTTGTAAGGGCATCAGATGCTTGCGTCGACTGATGCTGCTTGCCACCGTCTTGCCCTTGTTCAGTGACGAAACCTTCCTGTGCTACAAGTACATAAAGCTGTCACATTCACACGCGTCCAAGTGGCACCTATACATCAACTACATCCTCTACCAGGTAGAGAGAGGAGGCTTCCTTGTGCGGAACCTGTTGTCTTCTTCGTATTACTGATCTCTGCTTTTCTTCATGGTGCTTCAGCTTCACAAGGACATTGAGACAGCGCGACAGATGGAATTGCTTGGCGGAGGGGGAGGAAAAAAGACGAACCTCATCGATATAATGGTGCACCACGCTTCCTGATATGTCAGTCTGTTGTCCATGTCCTCTTCTCTGTATGCAGACATACCAGAAGTGGTCACGTGCCGCCAAGATGAATCACATGCAGGCATTAAAGAAGATGGCCAGGTTCTGGCGTGCTCTGGCGACAGAAAGCAAGATGGCCTCGGCAAAGCCAACAAGACAGAGGGCAGCGATGTTACGCGAGGTGAGACACGAGCTCCTGATGGATCGATCCACCTGGCCTGCCTCTGTCGAAGACAGGCCCTTGAAGCTGTGTCGAATGCACATCACAGCTACGTCAACCTCTTGCGCCGCTTTCCACGCAGCAAAGACGTAGAGACGGACAGAGGAGATGACGGCACTCATGGCGAGCCGATCGTTTGTGTGTCTTCACCTTCCTCGGTTGTGTGACTAGGCACTCGAGCTGTTCGCGAACTTTGTGCGGCAGCTCTATAATGATGAATCCAGGTGAGCAATGTATCCACAGGGGCCGGGTAAGCAATCGCTTGGCGCATCTTCCTCCACACGACCAGGGCCGAGTTGTTGTTGCTCCAAGCGGAGGCCGATGACCAGTCATCTGCCATTCTCTCTCAGGACCCGACCCTTGAGAGCAGCAGCAACAGCGGCGGCGGGGCTGGATATGGGGCAAATGAAGGAGGCAAGATATCGAACGCTCACACAAACGGGGGATCGATGTTGCTCGTGTGATCGGATCTGTGCACAGGAAGCAGCAAGGAGGAACACATTAAGATAATCGAGTTGAGCAAAAAGAGGAGACTCCATCTGACGGAGGCTGTTGCAATCATTGGTCTGTACGGCATGCTCACAGCAAGAGCTCAAGGTCGAGTTGTCGATATGCTGGACCTCGTGTCTCTTCTCTCTCAGGGCTGGCCATTATGGTGGTCATGGGCATTGTGACGCACTTTGTACGTTGGCCTTCTCGCCTCGCTGGCACACTGCAACCCATCATGCAGAGTATCGGTATATATGCGTTCTCGTCGTGTGTGTGGGTATGTCCTCAGGTGCAGAAAAATGAGATGGAATACACCACGCAAGTACTAACACGAGTGGCTTTCAGACCTTCTGTGACTTATGCGTTGTGTGCCTGCCCGCAGAAAATGCACGACCTCCATTACAATCGGGTGCTCATCAATGATTGGTACAGAACACAAGGGGAGCTGGTCTTGAGCACATGTGATGTCGCATCGTCTTTCAGGACCGAGGTCTGCAATGCAATCACATCAGTCCAGATCTACTCTCGCAACCTTACCGATGAGAGACGCAGTCTCGCAAGCACACACAACGAAATGCGCATCACAAAACAGCTGCAAACCATGGACAAGTTCGTCAAAGAGATCAATCATGCCTCGAAGTAGGCGGATCTGGTAAAAGAAATCAATAGCTACCTCTGTTTTGGACACGCTCTGTCTGTGTGGTGACGTTGTCAGCTTTATTGTTGACAAATCCATCCAAGAGAACATGGATGAGGTCCAGAGATTCTACCGAGAGCCGACGATTCGGACAACATTCTTCAATGACAACGGGGTGACGTATTTTAAGGTGAGACATTGTCGACGGGCTCATGCAAGAAGCACGGTGACGGTGACAACATGCTCACAACTTCATGTCCCTCCATCTCCTGTTTGCATCATACCCTCCCTCATTACTAGACGCTTAAATTTCAAGTAGCGGAGTATCTGCAAGCGATCCGCGAGATCATTGACGAGAGGGCAGCAATTGAGTCGCCGAATTTCAAGCTGGTGTTGCAAAACTGTATAGGTGACGGAGGAGAGGTTGGCGTGCACATTATCGAGGTGAGAGCCACACACGCGCGTTGCGCCGGACTATGTGATGTGCCAATCTGCCATTCAGCTCGAACTCGACCACATTTGGCACATCGTCGAGGGTGAGGGAGGGGTCCGGGACATCGCTATCGATCGTCTGGTTCTCGTGTCTTGTGCGTTTGATCAGAATCAGAGATGGTCATCTTGGCATGCATCATCGTGACCCTTAGCGTCAACATCACCTCATGCTTTGGTAAGTCAAGACCCATCTCCTCTGACAACTAAAGACGTGTGCATCCTGTCGCTGGATCAGTGATCCTGCGCATGGTCCAAAAGGGAGCCGGCGAGTTTGATATGCTAAGCGATGTCGGCCTTGCTTTGCACATTGCCTTCAAGCTAACCCACAGACAAGTACGATTCGAGCCTCCAAGAGTGGAAGACGACGTGGTGTTTATTCTTGTGCAGAAGCTGAGACTGCGGAAGCGTTTCGGAAGGGAGACGCGACGGGGCATTTGCTTGGTCGACACAGCTGTCGACCCGCATGCCGCCACGCATAGACACAGCGAAAAGGCCGACGAGTGAGAAACAGCAGTATATCTATCGCCATCAATGTCTCCAGTCTTTCTGCAGGCAGAAAAAGCCTGTCCTCTCAAAGTGGGGAAGCAGGGTGTCCCTTCAGAAGGACGGCTTCGATATCGAGGAGGAAGAAGATGAAGCGAGAGACCAGCTGAAGACAGAGAAAGGTCGATCGCCCGCCAAGCCCGCCCTCAAATCCACTGGCACTCCACCGCTGCTCACCGCCAGCCATGGCAAAGGTGATCGAGATGCCTCCACTGCCCCGGCGGACAAATCAAAAGGCGCCCACCCACATGTACGAGTCATTTCGCCGGCCTTGCAGCCGCGATCTATTTTGCATCAAGGCTCTTCTGGTGCCTTGGACGATCGCGCCTACGACAAGTCATTGAGAGGCCCCTTCCTCCGAACAACAAATCTGTGCAGTCCTCGCCTCAGATATCCGAAGATGGGAAGATTATCATCCCACTGTCAATGATCAATCTTGAGGACATCGAGCGTACACTTTAATACACACACATCGAGCGTACACTTTTTACAAATGTGTGGATCCACTGTGCATGTGGCGTTGGGCCACAGGTAAACTCGAAAGGAGGGCCTCTTGGCGAAACGTGAAAGTGAAATGGCCGAGAGCGAAAATCCGACGGAGAAGTCTGAAGTGCCATCAAGCCTGCCACTAGACAAGCGAGCATTGCACGCCCTCGGTAAGCAGCACCGAGACCCAGGTCAGGTCTATCGGGGCCGCAGCCACAGCTTACCCATTATGTTGGGTGCATGTCTCAGCTCTTCTGCGACGCAAAGGTTCTCTGCATGACGCGAGCGGCAACTCGATGGTCTCAAAACACGGTCTCGTCCGTCAGAAGACAGGAGAGCTCGTGGTGCAGATCGATTGTGTTACCTCCAAGGCAGACGGCGGAGACAGCGACAGCTCGGGGAAGATGGAGGCTGTGAAGTCGCCAAAAGGAGGGACACTGCATAAGACGCCCACGTATCGGACGGATCGGACGGATTACACAGTTGACATTTCTGAGAGCGGCCCACGTGGTGCCCACTTGCACATTGAGGACCACCAAAATGACATGGATGGACTGGCAGACGAGCAGCAGTGGAATCACGTGTCAGAGCAGACGGTTTCGGCAATTCTCAAACTGGAAGCAGTAAGCAGAAATATCAATTCGAAGCATCCAGAAGGAACGAATACGACTCTGATATACTTGCAGCCAGCTGATGGCAGCAAGGACATTGGGACAAGACAGCAGCACCAGCCACAACAGAAGTTAGCGCTCCCGCCACTTTTCGTTTCTATTCGCAGGCGACTCTGCGTTTTGTTGCTTTGCCATCAGTGCTGCGAGTGATGCCAATCCGCCCCTCGAGCGTAAAGGAGTTCAGGATAACGACATGAAAGCGAAAGACAAAGAGCTTTTGAGTTGCTGCAGAAAAGAAGCGAGGCAACAAAGAAAGTACGCAATGCGAAAGTACTAGTTCTTTCTTCGATGAACACATTGCTGGTCCCCTCTCTGGTTAGCAACGGCGTGCGAGCGACAGCAGCTTGAAAAAGGGCGGAGATGCTACTGCTCCAATGACTGCTGGGGAGGAGTCCAGGAAATTCGGCCCCAACCAAGCCAGCTCGTAAAGAGAAAGAAGCGGTATTGAACCAACGAATGTGATATTTTCTCAATACATCACTGCGACAGGGCCGACAGGCGGCATGGATCACATCGCGGATCCATCGACAGCAGCGGAATCGATCGGAACAAAGGCTGGTTCACATGTCATCGGAGATGGCTTCTCTTCAAAGTCAGACATCGCTGGCTCAGGTAGAAATGTGCTTCACAGTCACTCACTGCTGTCTCATTGCCGTTCCGCTCAGAGAGCCGCCAAACATCATCCGATGGCTTAACGTGTGCATAAGAGGGCGTTTTTCGAGGACTCTCTTTTTCTTCATGGGAAGCATCCTGGCTTACAGCGTCTTCACATACACATTCATGGTCGGCGTGCATGCGCTTTATTATCTCCATGACAAGCTTGTTCCCATCGTGGGTCTCCTGCAGGCCGTGCTGATGACAATGTCGCACAACCTGACCGACGAGGTGGTCAAGGTGAGGCAGAACACTACCATCTGCTTCCCCTCAGGATGTAACATTAGCTGTCCGTGTCTCTTCTTAGGCTACGATGGTTGAGTTTAGGTGCGTGCCGCTGAGATGAGCGTCAACTCATCCTGATCATCTGCCGTGTTCTGTGCAGGCTCCGTCAAGCCGGGGTTGTCGCTCTGCACTTGGTGGAGAAAGATCTATTTCCTTGGCGATCGGCGAACAGAAGAGATTCTTCGGGCGGAGGCTTTGCTGCGGAAATCGAGGCATGTCTTTCATCAGCTGCACGCATCAGCGGCCGTTCTCTCTGTTTTCTCTGTCGTCTCTGTTGATGTATGGCTTACCTTTCAGCATGACATTCACGAGGCAAGGAGTGAGCTGGGCAGTCTTCTGTACCATCAGGACATGGCTGAAGAGCCCGTGGATCGTCGTTTCTCAGCACGGAAAAAGTGAGAGACAGTGATTGTGCCGACATAGAGAATGCTCCTTATCTAATGGCACTCGTACTGTCTCAGATTGCTCTATTTTCCTTCTTGTCTCCTGCCTAAATCGGTCGGTTCATTGAGTGACTGACGGGCTCGCGCGCCTTCTATGACGATTCGTTTCTTTCCTGTCCTGCAGGAGGGAACGTGCTCAAACAGAGTCCACCCATATCCTTTCTCTGACTTGATGGAGCAGGGACTATACAAGGCACTGATCACCTGGCCTGTCTGCGGAGGCGAGGCGCGAAGCGCCGAGCCGAGCCTGACTAGCCGCATTGATTGCGGATTGCCGGCGTATATTTGTGCACTTTTCAGGTTCGAAGAGGCCGAGCGCTTTCATCGAAACTGGCTGCATGGGAACGGTACACCGCCATCATACTACGCGGTGACTGCTCATACTCGGCGATTGGAGATAGCTGGCAATGAGGCGAATGGCACCCTTCCAGTGATGAATCGAATGACGGCAAACGAGCCGCCTGACTACTGGTAAGCAAGAGAGGCGTGCGATTTCCGAGTATGACTCGGCTCTCGTCATCTTGATATGTGGTGTAGGTTTTTGGAAAACAGCTTGCATTACGACCTTTCGGGGGGTGAGACAAAGCTGAGAGTCGGGAGTGTTTATTCATCTCCATGTAATCCATTTAGGTTTTGAGAAGTTTGAAGACCTCTTCATGGAGGTGAGAGAGTAAGCATCCGTGGGATTGACCAGCTTCTCCATGTTTCTTCGTGTAGGAGGCTGATGCGGACCTCCTCGCACATGAGACGAAAGTAAATAAGTGACAAACCACACTTGATTGCACATAGTGTATTGTGTCTTTGTCTGCACTTCAATGCAGCTGTGGATCCTGGGGGCGCTTGCATGGTCTCTTCTGGTTTTGGCTTGTTTGTTTGCTCACTACCGTCTCTTCCCTTGGCTGAGAAGAGAAGTCATCGATGCCATCTCCGTCCTGCGCATTCTTCCCGAGAGAGACATTCAAGCACAGCAGCTGCTGGAAATGTTCAAGAATACGAACGCCGATTTCGAGGAGAGGTAGACTGTTGGCACATGCTTGAATCAGACTGCGAATCGATGTCTGGTTGTGGACTGCAGGAGGACGAGGTCGCCTCAAAGGCATCGGAACAGACTTGCTAGTCACTGTACTTCTTCTGTTTTTCGCAGTGCAGTTTCTGTCAGTAGAAATACTTAGCGCTCATTTCGAGACCGTAGTTAAACCAATTTCATCCATGTGCAAGTATATAGTAGACCCAGCTGCTTGTGTAGTGCTACTTCTAACCGACTGAGTGTTAGCTACTTTCCGTGAATACACATGAGTTCAGATGAGTGTCTGTTTTTCATAGCGGCCGTGTCAGACGAGCAATGCGCCTTGTGCGTCTTTGAGCAAACTGCGTGCAGTGTTCTTGAGATGAACCAGAAGAACTATGTCTGTCGTCTTGGAATATACGAACTTGACTTGGTTTGGCTCTCAGACAACAAGATGAATACACTGACGACACGAACCTGCGGTAAAGAGTCTATCGGCGTTTTGTCTCGCTCTCCGTATTGCAACACTTACGAGAGAAAGAGTGGGTCAGACATTCAGACTGCGACTTCTTGACCGTCCATTCAATGTGGCCTGTGCATAACTTCCATACGTCTATGTAACATACATCGCCTTTCCATCGCTTACCATGAAGGGTGGGTCTTGCCGTGTCCCTGCCAGTGTCTCAGTAGTGCCGCCGCCTGAGATGCCACCAGCAGCATCAGCAAGATAGACACCAAAATGCAGCCAACTTCGGCCATCGACTCTATTGTCTGTGTCGGCTGTCGACTCTGGCGCATCGTTTCGGCATGGTCGGTCCCTGCAGCAGGCAAGGCTGACCGTCTGAAGGGGAATTTGTTCGAACAGGAGTCTGCTGCGGGACCTACAGTCGCCGCCTGGTGCGCGACGTAGTGGAATCTTTTGATGGCAGACGGGCGACGCGCGGTAAGGGGAAAGGCGCATAGCGACGCGCAGAGCAAGAGGATGGAATTCATTGATGAGAACGGCAATCAGTCAAGGATTATGCGCGATGTGGGGTGGGGGCCCAGTGGGGGCCCACCCCACTGGGGGGCGGAGTCTCAGAGGGCCTTGAGACGGCAGTCATGCGACTGAGTGATTTTTTCAGTTTTTTCTCGTAGAAGAGGCCGTATTGATTGTCCGTCCATGACCACCGCTCTCATGGCCCCCACGCTCCTTGTCCTCCTCCTTCCTCTCGCAAGTAAGTCGTTCATGACGTGGATGGACGGTGTATCTTTCCGTGAGTGCACCGCATTGCAGCTGGAGCATTCAGCACGACGCTGCAATTCCACATGGATCAGCAACAGCAAAGCGTCGCGTCAAAGAAGTGCAAAGTGATGTTCAAGGTGCGAAGGAGAGAAACACACAGGAAATCGAGCTTCCAGGTAGGTTTGTGTTTGTCCAGGATCCGTCAGTACCTGAAGACTCTTTTACCAGTTTACCAGCTGCTCGCCCTGACTATCACATGACGGGCTACCGATGGTCATCGAAGCTAGGCTCCTCGTGCAGCACCTCAGAGACATGCATTGTTTATCAGACAAAACTCAAACACGGGGACCGTTTGGCTGCGGCCAGCGAAGGGTTGCTACTAGAGACCGGCCCCTTTGACGTGACAGGTACTGGCGAGTGCCACGACTCGAAGAGCCTGATAGAGAAGGACCTTCTCAGCCTGGTGTGCATCGAAGGGACACTGAAAGTGTTCAGCTGGAGGACGAGCCTTGGGATGTACTGCCTCGCACCCGGCATGGTGAGGCAGGCAATTGCAAGTAAACCGTGCACCGAATTGTTCCAGACACCCTCTGCTGTTCCTCTTTGCAGACGATTGTGGTCAAAGCTGAGCTCCAGAAACGGAGGCCTCAGAAGGACTTGCCTGCTGCACAGCAAACAGAGCACCAGGAGCCCCTCTTTGCCTCCTGGCCTGGCGCCGTTGGCACCGCCGGCGAGAAATTCAGCTTTTACAAGGATCTGCCAGAGGAGGACTTCAAAGTGTACTTCCCTGGCCATCCGAGTAAGCTCTTTTGGTGAATTCAAATCAAGTAACTGCCATGATTCTTTTTGTCAATGATTCTGCTTGCAGAGTACAGGCCTCCACCTGAGGAATGAGCCGCAAACATGACAAGACGCGAAGCTCAGCTTAAGTGGAGACATCGAGACATCGAGACACTTAGACGCACGCAACGGAGGACGGCAGGGATACATGCATCGTCGTGTCTCATACAAACATTATGTGATCGGCATCCTTCACATCCTTTTTTCATCCTGAACAGAGGCCACAGCTACATGCCTGGCCGTGCATCGGGAAGTGTGCTCGTCTTGCAAATGAACCTTTTGACTCGGCGAGTCATGTGAAGAAGCACAGAGCTGGGTGACATATATATCATTGATTGAATTGTCTGATTGAAGTCGATCTACTCATTCATCCCATTACACGCACACACACACATGGTCCGCGCCTCATCTAGTCATTGGAAGAACCCAGCAAGTGGATGATAGGATGATATCACAAAACGACAGCGAGAATAGAGACCGAAGACATAAACTCATACATAGACGTACGTATGTAGACAGACAGATACACATAGATCCACCTATACATGATCCATACGTATCACTGCCTTTCGCGCGGTGCCTACTCCATGGATCGCGACTGCTGCAGCTGCATGCCCGCCCTGGCGGTCACCGAGGCGCCATGGGCAGTCCGGGGCCTCCCAGGCTCGCGATGGCGAAGCTGAGGAGCTCTTCATCGGTCATCTTGTTGATGAGGCGGAGATTCTCGCCCCGCGCGGCCAGCGTGGGGCCAATGTCCAGCGCTACTTGATAACTACACGCACACCACACAGACACACACACACACACACACACACAGAGAGAGAGAGAGAGAGAGATGAGTACAGATTCCCTGTATCCCTCTCACGTGTGCTGTCCGTCTAACCCGGTTACGTCCGTCCTGTTGTCGCGTGTGTTGGGCGGGAGGACGGCCACCACAGTGCCCTCCAGTCCATTCAGTTCGTGGTCGGGCAGCCCAGCCACCCAAACGAAATTGCCAACAGTGAACGAGGGGCCAGACCTGCAGTGCAGGTACAGCGGGGAAACAGGCATATCCACTTCTCTCTCGGCCGTTCACTCTTGTCTGTCACCATTTCACTCACCCGTTGCCCCGCCCGGTGAGGCGGTTGAGATGCTCCTGGTGGGCGTCCATGTTGGCGTTGTTGATTCTCACAGTCGCCCGGGTCCACTCGGCCTCCCAGTCCCACATGAATGCCTTGAATGCCGCCTGGCCCGTCCGGTGGTCACCCGCAGGCGGCTCCAGGCCTCAGGCAGTGATTTGCGAGTCACCTGACTCGACGCCTGCAGCATGAAGATGGCCATCCTGGCCTCCGATTCGGTCATGGAGTCGCGGACGTCCACACAGCCGTCCTTGAGAGCCCGAGGCGCGTAGTAGCTCGCCACCCATGTGGCCTCGCCGTCGGCATCCTTGACCGTCACATCCCGCAGTGGCCCGCCGAATCGATCGGGCTGTGGGGTGAAGGAGGCTGACGGCCTCTGGATCCGCTCGACCAGTTTGACAGGCTGCACACGGAGATACAGGCAGACAGACAGACAAACAGCCAACCAGTCCAGTGCACGTTCGATTGGAGTGCGTCTGGCGGCCGTCTTTCTCGACTACCTGTCGGCATGTGGGGCACTGCAACAGCATCATACGTCCGCCCTGGTACATGGTGCCGCGAGAATGGCTGCCGTTCTCCTGAAAGAACGCCTGCGCTTCGCCCTTGAGACACTGCAAACACATACAACCGTACATGTCGCTCAGCAAGCTCCCTGTCATTTTCTGCCTGCCTCCTCAGGCTGCCTAGCTACCTGCCAGCAGAAGTAGTGGTTGCACTTGAAGCGGGCGATGTCACACTTTGTCCCTCCGTGGCTCGTGAGGAGATCACAGCAGATGGCACAAACATCGGGCTCCTGTGGAATGACGTATCTCTTGGGCAGGGCGCCTCCAGGAGCCATCCTGGAACTGACTCTCGGGTGCTCCCGCCGCTGCTGCTAGGGTGCTTCCTGAAACCGCTGCTGCTGCTTGCGATCTCAAAAGCGTCTCGGGATTCTCGTGATCTTCGCCTTCAGCTCATCCCCGTCTGCCAGAATGAAGTGCCTCGTTGCCCTCGCCGTGTGCTTTGTGCTCGCGTGCACGTCATCAGCCCTGACGCTCCGGCGGACGTCGGTGGCCAAGTGCCAGATCAAGAGCAGCGGCAAGGACGCGCCGGACACGCCGACACCCTCATTCTTCATCCCGGCCGCTGACAAGAAGATGTACGAGGAGGGCATGCAGCAGGTGACATATGGCTGTCCACATGGGCCGTCGTGTCTCTTTTGGCTCCGGTGCGGCAGATCTGTGTGCGCGTGTGGGTGGTCGTGTGTGTGTGTGGTGTGTGTGTGTGTGGTGTGTGTGCAGATGCTGGAGAATATGGTGGGCCAGGCGGCTGCTGCGAGTGGTGGGACCACCGATCTGTCCTTCAAGGTCGAGTGCAAGGACAGCAACGAGAGGGACGTCACATGCGCCATGTGCATGTAAGCCGCCCGCCGTCAGGACAGACAAGACAAGACGCACGCACACCTCACTCAGTGTCACTCCCTCACTGTGTGGGGGTGTTAATCGTCTGTGTGGGTGGTGGCTGTTTTGTCAGCTATGACGAGATGTCGGAGGACCAAACCCACAAGCTGGTAGGCCAGACCCTCAGTGTGCCTCTGATGAACTGCATGGACGGCAAATTCTCCCACAGGACCAAAAGTGAGCAACCCATCCACCCACTGACCCCACCCGCAAAGACAGACAGACAGACAGACAGAAAGCCACATGTGGTCTTTCTCTGATCTGATGTGATGTGACGTGATCCGATGCGTGTGATGCGTTCTCTCTCTTTCTGTCGTCAGTGCCCAACAGTGAGTACCATCCCGTGTGCTACCCCCAGCAGAAGTCGGCGACAGCGTAGAGTGTACCCTACTTCAACTCCACACACACACAGTTGACGGGTGAGTGGCTGCATGATTTTTATGGGTTGGCATGGCAGGCGAGAGGTCAAGCCCCCGGCTGACATAACCAGAGGCGTTTTAAGCGAGGGGGGGAGGGGGAGGGCGGTGGTGGGAGGGAGGGGGGTGGTTTAGACACATGGTGACTGGCTGGCTGGCTGTTTATGCGTGTGATAAGTGGATGAATGGCTGCTGGCGGGGGTGTGGTGTTGGGGTGGATTTTTGGTTTGAGTCGGCGTCGCGACAGATGGCTGCTGCTTGCCTCCTCTCTGTCGGTGTGTGCTGCTTTTGCCTTCGCCTGTGGCTCGCCATACGCATCATCAGGTCTGTGTGTGGTGTCCCTGGGGTGAAGGCCTGAGATAGCGCACCTGACGGGAGCTGAGAGGTGCACTGATCAGATGGAGGATAGCTTAAGGTGAACGTGTGCGTGCCGTTGATCGATGCGATGCAAGTGAGGCACGGCTTCATAGCCAGCCGGTGTGTTGTGCGGATGAAGGTGTGACGTCCGTCATGGTCGGGGGCAGGAAGGAACCGCCACAACTGCAGGGACACCTGTGCTTGTGGTGGTTCGGTTGAAGACCCTGGCGATCGTTGCGCATTGCATTCATGCAACAAACATGCTGGGCTGGTGGATGCCTCCATCCCATCTAGGGAGGGAGGGAGCTGGACAGACCGATACATATATATCAACACACCGAATTGATGGCGGACGGGAACGAATGAATGTCCACACACACACATACACTGAAATGCTGCAGTTGGCTCACATTCTCTCTCGCACACGCACATGCACACAAAGCCGCAAAAAACAGATGACTGACACGACACTCAGCCACTATCTGACCCATGAACAAACATCCGACCCGCGACACACACGAGAAAAATCCCTCCAGAGCACCTTACTTATGCTGTCTCCTCTGCCCCATCTGCCTGTCGGTGGGTTCGTCGTCATCGGTGCCTTCGTCCTCAGTGTTATCCTCTTCGTCACCATCCACACCGGGGTCCACTTCGGCGCCGCGGCTGCTGTCGTCCTCAGTGCGTTTAATCGGGTTGCGTGTCGGGCGGGTGCTGTCGCTGCCGCAGCTTTCATCGCCGGTGATCGGCCTGCGATGGTGATGGTGATCATGGTGCGAGTGGGAGTGGTGGGGCCTCGGTTTGTGTCCGCTGCCGCCGCCCAATGCCGCACTCGAATCCCCGATCATGTGTATGCGCCGGGCCGCCTCGACCTTCCGACGCTCATATTGCCGCATGACATCTTCGCCGTCACGGTCGTCGGGGTCGCTGTCATCGTCATGATGCCCGTTCATCGTCCTGTCTTGCCTGTCCATCATGCCGTCAGCCCCGATAATGGCGGCCTCCCCTCGCCCACCGGCCGCTGGTGGGGACACGTTGTCGACCTCACTACAGCGGCCGATGACTCGCATAGTGCGGTTGCTGTCGGGCGGCAGCTGGGGCGAGAGGTGGCGATAGAAGGGGAACGACGGGCGGGAGGTCAAGTCGGTGTCATCGGCGTGCAGGGCGTCGACTGCCGTGCCACTATTGTCATCGTCCTGGACTATCGTCATCTCCACCACACTGTCTTCTGCCTCGGGGGTGAGGTGGCGGTAGGGCCGCAGAGACGCACAGCAGCAGATGCGCGAAAGACACGACTGAAAGATGCCCTGCGCGACCAATCACACAAACACCACGGCCGAGAAAAACAGCCGATAGATATTACCACCAGCACAGACACATCTTCCGGCGGATGGGGCGCCCCCCGTGAGACCCACGACCCACCCTACCTGTGTGAGGCCGTCTGTGTTGTCGCGTGTCATGTCCTTGTGCATGTCCTTGAGAGTGTCATAGAAGGGTTTTCCCAGCGTGTCGGGCAGCCCAACAGCACCAGCCAGACCAGCAACCGTTGACGACATGCCAAAGATAAAATTCGGCATGGCCGGAGACGCCACGCCGAGAGAGACGACCTGGGGGGCCGCAATGCCTGAGGGATCAGCACACACAGCACAGAGAATGTGCGTGTGTGTGTGTGTGTGTGTGCTTAAATGATGCATGTGCTGACCTCCGACTCGCGCGGCCATGCTCATCATCCCGACTGCTGAGCTCCTCACTGCCAGCAACAAGGGCGAAGCAGAGAGCAGAGAGCACCATCCATGCACGCACAGTGGATGGAAATGAGTTGCTTACGCGACGAGGGGAACAGCTCAGAGCCATACAGATAAAGATCCACAAACGTCATGGCAACGAAAAACCTGAATAGTAGTAAACACCAACCAATGCCACACATATTGGCCTGCATAGCATCACAGGCCCCACACGTCTGTCTGTGTGTCCGTCAGCGCACCTTCCCGCCACAGCGACGATAACCATGGCCCAGCCCCCACTCTCCAGCACCACACACAGCAGGCACAGCAGCCCCCCGATGATGAGCGTCCCGTTGACCACCCCTTTCCTCCCCCCACACCTCCGCCAGTCGGTCGCCCACACGCCAAATGCTATCGCCGGTACCTCCAGCGCACCGTTGATAAAAGTTGTCACCTGACTCGTGGGGCCCAGATTTCCCGCGTTGAGAGAGAGCCCGTAGTATGCGAGTGAGGTGCTGAACCACAAGAGCACCATGACATAGAGCCGGTCGGCCACGGGCGGCATCGTCAGCAGGTCCCAGAAGGAGTCTGGGGGCGTTGTGGACGAGTCGACGGACGACGTTCGCCTAGTACTGCTGGTGGTGGGCGTGCCGTTGTCGTTGCCGCTGTTGCTCTCGCCGTTGACCAGCGAGGGCAGGGAGGCGGGGGAGATATGTGGAGGCACTGTGGTGCCGTTGATATCGGCTATCGTGCGGAGGGCGTCATAGGCCCTCTTGTACTCCTTCTTGGCCACTGCCCACCTCGGTGACTCGACGAAGACCGGCGCGAGCAGCCAGAAGACAAGAGCGAAGCCGGGCAGAGCGATGGCGAGAGTCAGCCACCGCCAAGACGTAATGAGGTAGCTCATGACGGCCACCACGCAGCCACCAATAGCGAAGTGGGAGTGCGCCAAGATGGTGATCAAAGGCCGCTTGTCAGAGCGAACCACCTCGGTGTTGAGGATCCAGATGGCCAGGCCGAGCCCCCCCACCCCCACACCAGTGCCGGACCTCAGCCACACAAACGCCACGAACGAAGGGGCGAAAGCGCTGCCGACGCCACACACCTGGATGAAGATGAGCGAGATGACGTAGGCGGTTTTTCTGCCCAGGTGGTCGGCGAGGTAGCCGATGCCGAACACGCCCACAAGGAATCCGAAGAAGAAACACGAGGAAGCGAACTGCGCGTCGAAGAGACCCTTGCTGCAGTAGCCCAGACCCCACTCAGACACGATGGACGAACGGCCGGGGTCATACCTGCCGAACACACACACACACACACACACGACAATCACTCATTCCAGAAGGGCTTGGCTTCTTCTCCTTTCGCCAATAATCCGTGTAAGTAGTGTCCGACTTGAACTCGTGAGAGCAATCAGTCGTCTTCAACAGCTCGCCGTGCTTGCAGCCTCCGGGAGCGTCTGTGGGGTTGTTGCAGAACCTGTTTGGCTCTTCCGTCAGGAAGACCAAAGAGATGGTCTGGGCACCGACCAGCAGCCAGGAGGGGAAGTCGATGAACCACGATATTCTCTTCTGAAAGACCCCGTATGAGCCTATAATTGTGACACACAAGCACAGGCACAACGCCGTGAGCAGTCCAATCCCTGCCTGCGGTGCGTCTGCCTTTGGCTCACCGATTGAGTCCAAGATGTCCTCCATCTGCTCACATCAGCGCGCTGCGCTCAGGTCAGCGACACAGAGCGAAAGATGACAGCCTTCAAACTACAGCGTTCGCAAGCTTCGTCCCTTGCGAAGTTAAAGCTCGCAGACAAGGCGCGAGAACAGCATTGCAAACAGTGCAAATGAAAAGGGCCACATTCGAAGGGGTGATTCCCAGCCTTCCGCTGACAAAGCTCACTCGCCCAGGGCCGAGTCCACCCACACGAAGACGGCGGCTTGTGCGGAAGCGTGATCCGACGCTCAGCCACGACGCGCGGCCTCAGGCCGGTTCGCGGCTTGCCATGGCTGTTGGTGGAGGGCTGCTGTGCAGACTGAAAAGCAGAACCACGCCACAGCGTGAGCGAGGTAAGGGAAAGCCATCACGGGCAGGCGTGTCTCATTTGCGTCTCGCCTGTCTGTCTCAGACACTCCCTCTCGTGGCCTGCTGCACGTCGGGCGGTCTCACATGGAGGGCTTCACAAGCCCCCGTTGCCGCGACACGCCTTCCACTATCCCCTCCTCGTCGCCCCCGATCTCTTCACGTGTGCCCACTCGAGGGCAAACTCGGCGAGGCTTGTCGAGGACTCCGAGGGGAGACGAGGCTCTGACTGGCGCTCATTTGCAGGGCGGGGGCAGGATTACTGCAAGGCGGCCGGGGACAGCACCCAGTCCAAAGACCACGAGGTACTGTCCGACGGACAGGTACTTTGCAGTCCTACTGATCAATTCATTTGTCGGTTCGTTGCAGACGTTTCGCTGATGACATTCCGACTGGCGTGGTGAGCCACCGTTGCAACGTGCTCTCTCGCCAGGGATCATCATCGTCCCCCTCGCCCATTCCAGAGGACACACCGCGACCACCACGGCCGCCAGCCAGGATACCGAGGGTGTCACAGCCAATTCCTCCCGGCCTCTCCCAAGAACAGCCGCTTCCTGCCTTCAACGTGCGCTTGCCGGTCAGGGGTACCCGTTACTTTGAGAAACGGAGGGAGCGGCGAGTAGTGGTGCAAGCCCAGGAGTTCCAGCAAGAAGACGAGACGGCAATCGTGAAAGACACAGCACCGCCGCCGCCACCATCATCACCATCACCAGCAGCGGTGGCAGCGGCAGGGACCGAGGGAGGGGAACATCCACAAGAAGCCGGAGAAAAGGAAAGACCATTGCCTGCTTTGGAAGCCGGCGTACCTGCTGCCGAAGGGCAGATAGACGAGACTTTGGGCAGCGTGTTTGTAACGCAGATGGAGACGCCACGATTGCCTGACGACAAGGAGCAGCATCAACCTCCAATCAGCACTGTGGACAGGCCGACTCTGGAGCCGCCTGAAGGCCTGCAAGTAGCGCTTGAAGAACCTGGTGCCGACGAGAGAAGGGAAGAAGACCAAAAGGGTCGAATGGCTATCGACAACGAGTCTTACGCCGAGTCGTCCTCTCCCCCATTCTCGATCGCCGATGTTGGTTACCGTCTCGCTCGCCTGAGACCAGCCACTCGGCCCGTCAACACTACATGGCTCTTGAGAGTCACCAAGAAGCTGGAACGGGGAGAAATACATCCCGCTGGTCTACGGAAAGCCTTGCAGCCTCGGAGGGACGAGAGCAACTTCCCTCTGCCGTCTCAGTTCGCTTGCTTCCTGCCGGCGCGTGTCTTTGCCCGCCCGTCGGGATGGGACATCGGCGCGCCCCACATACCATTGGAAGAGCGGCTTGACACCGAGGAGAAGAGAAAACAGGAGATCGCTGATCGGGCTCGCGGCGTGGGGGATAACTTACCAAGAGACATCGATGGCACCTCAGCTAAGCCGCACTCTCGTGTGACATTTGCTGTGGAGAAAAAAGAGGACTCCAACGATGGCGATGGCGCCACGCCCCAAGCGGCAAGCGGCTCTCCTGCCAGCCCACAGGCTCCCTCTCTCACCCCTCTAGTCACGCCCATCTCAAGGATATTCAGGCGAGTCCATCTGCTCACTGCGGCCACCTCCCGCTTCCGGGCATCGAAGCAGACAATCGTGTCGCGCGAAGACGACGCTCTATCTCAGGCGCCGTCCGTCACCGAGCCCTCACCTTGCAGCTCTCCCAAACCAGCAGCCCCGACACACCACCAACCAGAGGAGAGCGAAACTGGCAGTGGGAGTGCTGCCTTTGTGGCGGGGCCGTATGTGCCCCTGACGCCCGGCAAGAGGGGCGCGATGGCGAACCCCCCGCCGAGCCCCAACACGACGCCCTGCCCCCCACGAGCTTCGTCGCCTGTGTCCACTGAGGAGGAAGAGCAGCCGAAGTGGGTGAGGCGGCTGATAAGGCAGCACAGGCAGCTTCGGAGACATATTTTTGGGCAGCTCGATGGACGAAGAAATGGGGGTCAGTGTGTCCGGAGACACACACACGAGGGCTATGAAGATGGGCCGGAGAGGACGATACTTGAGGAGCTGAGTTTCCTGAAGAGGCAGAGGTCGCTGTGGGATAATGGGGGTAGTCGTGCGGGAAGGGGACACAAGGCAGGCGCGATTGGTGTCCGTGTGACACGATGGTCGAACCCAGCGTGATGGAGGCGGTTCTGTGTGTTTCGGTATCTGTCTGGGCGTGTCTGTTGTGTCTGTAAGGTGGTTGACCAGTCGTGTATATGTGACACACTTACTCGGTGTCCTGTTTGTTCCTTCACTGACAACGCTTTCTCATCAATGGCCGTCCACATGTCCCACCACTTCACGGAAGGATTACCATCGCCCGGCCTACTATCTATATCCCACGCACTGCAAACACGGTCATTCACACCGGGGAATCAGTTGACCACCGACAGTAAGCCACAAGAAGTGAGTGGTGAGGAGAGAAGCGCTTCAAGATGATCAGATCAACACCAATCCCACCCACATCCAATTTACTCACGACATGATATAACCCCCCACACAGACACGACACCAAGGCCGCATCTGATGGATGCCCCACGCACGATCTACACATACATCAAGCTGCCACCTCCACCGTGCCTCTCTGACTCTCCTTCTGCTGCCTCTTGATCGTCTCCGCCTTCAGCTGGCCACAGCCCCCCTCTATGTCGATCCCCCGTCTCAGCCTCGCTGTCGCCCCGACGCCGTGCCTCTTGAGCGTGTCGATGAAGGACGATACGGCAAGGGGGGAAGATGGCCGGCCGTCGTAGCCCTCGGTGGGGTTGACTGGGATGAGGTTGACATGGCCGATGAGGCCTTGCCGCATGGCCCTGCTCAGCAGCCTGCCGAGCTGGTCGGCCTGCTGAGGCGTGTCGGTCTCGCCGGCTATTAAGGCCCACTCGAACGATATGCGCCGGCCGGTCTTCCCACAGTAGTACACACACGCCTGTGGACAGCACACATAGTCGAATGCCACCACACCAGACCAACAGGTGTCCTCTGTCTGTTCTGTAGACCTGCCCGTGGTCACTGACCTGCATGACTTGCTGTATTGGGTGCTTCTTGTTGATGGGGATGAGAGCAGATCGCTGCTGATCAGACGCGGCATGCAGACTCACAGCCAGCGTCACCTAGACGCAGCATCGGGAGGTCAACACAATGGGTGGGCAGAGATGCCTTCGTCTCTCTCTGTGCGCCGACCGACCTGTCTGCCTTCGTCGGCGATTTGTTTGATGCGCTCGGGGAGGCCGACCGTGCTGACTGTGATGTGACGCATGCCGACCCCCAGATCACTGCACAAACACCACACACGCACACACACACCCGCACACACGGCCAGCCGTATTTTTCGACACCCTGTCGTGCTGCCATGCTTACTGGTTGATCCTCTCGACGGCTTCCATGGCGTTGTCATAGTTTGCCAGCGGCTCGCCCATCCCCATCAGCACCACATTGGACAGCCGCTCGCCTCGCTGGTGAAGCTCCCTCGCGAAGATGAGGGCCTGCTCAACGATCTCAGCGCTCGACAGTTGGCGGGCAAAGCCCATCTGACCTGCAACAGACATGGAGACATACATACATACATACATACATACAGACAGACAGACAGACAGACAGACACTGTGTGGGTCCGTGCAGCAACCAATGCTTTAGTACCCGACCTACCTGTGGCGCAAAAGACGCAGCCCATGGCGCATCCAGCCTGGCTGGATATGCAAGCCGTCCTCCGGCCATCCTTGTAGGGCATCAGCACCGACTCGATGACTTGCCCATCCCGCAGAACGTACGCCCGCTTCAGCGTACCGTCACGGCTGACACGCTCGTCAGCCACCATGAGATCTCCAAAGGTGAGAGAGGCCTTGAGGTCGTCCCTCATCGTCTTGGGTAGGTTGGTCATTGCGTCGAAGGAGCCAGCCCTCCTCTCGTAGAGATGCTGCCAGATCTGCTTGGCTCGATATGCAGGATGGCCCCTCTCCTTCATCCAGAGATTCCAGCCGTCCATCGTCATCTCATAGACGTTCTTCACTGCCGGCTGCTGCGTCAGTGTTGCCATCAGTACGCCGCTCGGAAGCTGTCTTCTCCTCGTTTGATGAAGCGCATGTCGATGAGCGGTTCTGCTGAAGGGAAGTTGACGGGATCTTGGTCGTGCGATGAATGCCGGGTCACGACGACGGGCGTGGACCAGGGATATCAACGAGTTGAGGAGCAACCACGCCAGCTGCAGCAGCATCTCGTCCGGATTAATGAAGGGGAGTCCCGAGAAGGGAAGCCTGCGAGCTTAAGCTCCGAGACTCGCAATGTTTATCGCGCGAGTAAAGGAGCTAAGAGAATGTAGCATGGCGACGACAGAGGGGTGCAGAGCCCGTTGAAGCCACAAAACAGCACTCCGATCCATAGCTTGGCTGCACGATGGCTGCCAGTGCCGCCGCCCAGGTGAGAGAAGAGGGAGCTGAGGCCAGGCAAATCCCTACATCATGACGTGAATCACTTGTGCTGTCTGTGTGTGGTTTGTCATTCGGTTTGGTGCAGATGAGCGCAGTGATACGGGCGCAGCTGCTGCCGCAGGTACAAGGCTATCGGCTGAAGCAGGCTCAGGTATCAGCTGACCAACACACATACCGACTCGTCCATTCCATGCAGTGCACCCAAAGCTCATCGGCTGCTTGCTTGTGTGTGTGTGTGTGTGTGTGTGTGGTGTGCAGGTCAACAGCTGCATCGACCAACTTCTCCAGATGGACACCGCAGCTTCGATGGCACCACTGGTGGGGCAGGCTGCCAAACACACCACACACCACAGAGCCCTCTGTGTGTCTGTGGAGTCTCCTTTGCTTGGCGTTGCTCTCGTCGTGTTGATTCATTCGTCAGATGGTGGCCAAGGTGAGTCGCCAGTTTGCTGCTGTGTCCGACCTGCTGGCCGAGTTGGCAGAGACCATCAACTCGACCATCGCACTCACAAGACATCGCCGCACACAGGTGAGTGGGGGAGTGACCACAGGCAGGCACAAACACAAGGCCCACACTGATGTGGTGTGCACCTCTCATGTGCTATGTGTGTATGTCCTTTTTTGTGTGTGTCATCAGGCGCGACGGCTGCACCTCTCTGACATCCCTCCCGACCCCATGAGCATCGTCATCGCACTGTCTGACCTCACCGCCGTCGCCCACCTCAAATCGACAGCCCGACCCATCAGAAATGCCCTCCGGCCGATCGTCCGCCGCCTTCGACTGCCGAAGGCGGCCATCGAGCGGGCGGGGGTGGGCGGTGTGGTGCAGTTCGACGATCAGCTGAGCCACGGCGATGTGATGAAGGCCATGTGGGTGGTAGAGGAGGGGGGCGAGGGCGGCTGGCGGGAGGTGGGCGACACACTCAGAGTCGCCGAGCAGTGCGGCTATTGCCAGCTGCCGGTCACTGTGGGTGCTACGGACCTGCAGACACACGCCACCAAGGCGGTAAGCACGACACACAGAAGAGGCAATCGGTGAGCTGCTGGATGTGTGTGTGTTGGGTGCAGGATTTCTTGGCGTTGCCCCGTTTCTGTGCGCAGTGGATGATCGTCGGCCGCCGTGTCGTCTTCCTCCGCCCCACCGGCCAGCAAGACGGCACACTCGAGCTGTTCCGCCACAACAACAACGAGATTCGCGCCATCCGCAACAAGCCCAGCTTCACCATCACCATCAACCCGCCCCTCCCCCTCCCCAACCGCCCCGTCCATCCCTTCTCCCAGCAACCCCTACACGCACCACGCCAAGCCGCACGATCCGCCAGTCCGCCACCACATTACGTGGCAGCCTGTTGTGGGCTGGGCGACAGGTGGCGTCGGGCCCGTTGACGCATCGGCGAGTTCCCTGCTGAAGGGCCTGATGCTGGCTCATCGGATGTTGGCTGTGGGCGGCTTCTCCCACTCGCCAGTAGTGGTGGTTGACCGGTGAGTGGATGGACGGCATGCAATGAGAGGGCAAATCGCTATGTGGTGCGCTATTGATGTGTCTGTCAGGCGTGTGCGGGGTGGCCACCTCGATCGCATCATGACCCAATCGCCGCACACGCCCCTCGCCGGATGCTCAGACGTGACGGCAGCCGAGGCGGCCAGTGGGTGGTGTGGGCAGGAGCATGTGCTGACTTCATCCAACGACCCGTTCATCGCATGGATTCTCTTTGGCATTTACCCAGGCAACAACCAGGACGGTACTCATACACATTCACAGCACATCATCATGCCGTCGTCTTGTCTGATCCGCTCTTCTGCTGTTGTCTGCGTGCAGTGCACGTCATCATTCGCACCAGCGAGGCGCCAGCAGCGGGTGTCCCTCAGGATGCCCCCTTCGCCCAGTGGTTCCCCCTGACGGCCGCCAAAGCCCGTCGCGTCCTCGGTCCTATCGCGGCCATCGTGCTCGATGGTCAGGCGCATTAGACCATGAAGGTGAGAGCGAGACACATCATGATGGCGTGACGAGGCGCGTATATAGTTATGTGTCTTATATGTGTTGGATGGATCGTGTGCAAGCGCGCGCTGGCAGGCTACACGTGTGTTGAAAGAAGGGCTGTACGAGGTGCCTGTAGTGTGTGCGAATGAGTGCGCATGGTGGACGAAACTTCGAGAAGTCTTGCTTGCGCCATGGAATTGGAAACAAGACAACTTGGGAGGTCGCATGTCTCTGCCTGTATGTCACACCCATTCATCACACCGTCCTTTCAATGTTTCTGGGCCACACGACACACGAGGCGAGCCACAGCGTGATGCACCCACCCAGCAATGGCGCAAGCCAATTTGCGTCATGCACACACATTGCAGCCATCAGTGCTGGCGTGGGTCTCTTGTGCAGCATCGTCCGGTTGAGAGGGAGCGGCGATCTGGCGCCCGCCACACGGCCTCTCACGCAGACCAATGACAGTGCGACGCGAGAAGCTGCATCACCCCTCCATGTTTCTCCTCTCTCTCTGCACACACCATGCCAACCCTTGAGGGCACCGCAACGAACAAGTTCCTCACCCACCATCAAGTCGTGTGCTCTTCTTCCTGCACACTCTGCCCCCTGCCCAGCAGCTGTGCCGCGAGCCGTATGGCGGCCAGGTCTTGTCGCGTCACCCTGGTCTCTCCACTCACGAGCATCCTCAGCACCCTCTCGCCCACCAGCACCACACACCTCTCGTCCTTCTCGCCCCCCCAGCCACTCTCCGCCAGGCAGGCAGACGCCAGCAACAAGCACGGCATCCATCGGTCAGCGATGGCCGCAATGCGATCGGCAAGAGTCCTCTCATCCACAGACGGCGGACGCAAGCCGTGATCGGCCAGCAGCCGAGCGGCAGCGTCGCGAGTGAAGCCTTTCAGCTCTGCGGCGATGGCGGGCGGCAGGGTGGGCTCGTCTGCCTGGGCGAGGGAGCAGAGGGCCAGCAGAGATGGGCACAGTAGCGGGGAGGGCGTCACCGGCAGATGGCGGCTCGCTTGGCGGACCAGACGAGAGATGGTGGACGGCGGGATCGGTATGTCGTCTGTCAAGATGCTGGCAGTGAGCACGCTGACGTCGCTGGGCCCGAGGCTCGCGAACCAATCATCGGTCTCGCTCTCGAGGCGCTCCACCAGCCTCTCACGACAGCTCCTGATGTCTTGTTGCATGGCGGCATCGGCAGTGAAGTGGTGGTGACTCGATCGCGCCAAGACCCAGGCAACCACTGAACAACTCTGAAAGGGCGGGCAGCAGCACAACAAAGAAAGCCCATGAGCATCAATTTCAATTGCTGTCCATCCACCCGCCCTCCCTTGTGTGTCTGTCTGTCCCCGACTACTCACTCCTGCATCCATGCGCTGTCGTCGATCCTCGATCCGCTGACGAGCCGCCCACAGATAAGCCTCCCACCCCTCCCTGATCCCATACCCACAAGTGACCATCCCCCACCCAACCGTCGCCAACTCGCGGCTGGAAAACGCGGCGGGCCGGTGCAGACACTCAGCGAGGACGTCCCTGAGGAAGGCCCGCACCGCGTCTCTGTTTTGCTCGGTCTGCCGTCCTCTGTGGTTGAGCATGAAGCCGATGGACGAGACAATGGCGGCGAGTGTGTGTGGGGAGAGGGTGGGGAGGGAGGGGTGGAGAATGGATGTGAAGGCGCCGAGGAGGGGCGGGGGGTGGAGGGCGTCCAGCCGGGAGAGCGACCACAGAAGCTTCGCAATGGACCGGGCCGTCATGTGTGGAAGGACAAGGGGAAGCTCGGCACACACCTGCAGATGCGCAATGACAGACATAAGTGGTCACACAGAAGAAAGAGTGGTCCATATCGTTTATATATCGTCTGCGTGACCTCATGCATCAACGCATCCACATTAGGCGATCCGCCGTTCCCCTTCCCTTTTGCGAGCGCCCAAACGAATGTCGACAGCTCCTGCGTAGACACAACAGACAGACATACACAAGCCCTGTCGATCCATTAAATTGCTGGATGGCAGCATCCCAGTGGCGCACCTCTTGGTTGAATCTCCTCCAGGCCCTTCGCCCCCACCCCGCCATCAGCTCTCGTGTCGCTGCATCCATCGCTCCCCTCTTGGCCAGCCCCCATGCGCACAGAAACAGCAGCCGCGGCGAGCCAACCATCACCTCGTTCATCTCATCCACACTGGAAAGGATCCGCTGAGAGATGTCTTGCATGAGCGCGTCGATGCCGTCGTTCACGTGTGCTGAGGGTGGTGTCATGTTGCCGGCGAGTGTGGCCAGGGCCCATGGGCAAAGGGCGAGGGTGCGCGGAGACAGAGTGGACAGCGACGAAGACAGCACCTGAAGGGATGCATCAAGACAGGCAAATGAGTCTTTCCTTTTCTCCATCTGTTCTCGTGATCGATCTGTCTGTCTGTCTATCTGCCGCCGCATCTCATCTCATCTCACCTGTACAGTTGCATTGATGGCCTCAGGTCGCGACACGTTCATCTGGGCCATCGCAGCCAGTGTGTATCTCATGCTGTCATCCTTGAAGGAACCGAAAGGAGCCAATGGGCGTGGGTCCACAAGGCGATTGACCAACGCCCGCGGAAGGGGGTCATGTTCCGCGTTCAGACCTGATCAGACAAACACAGGACAGACAGACGATGACACAATCATGCACTCACTGCACTATGCCGGTTCTGTGTGGTGCCGTGCCATGGTGCGTGCGTACGTCGGATAGCGCAAAACATGAGCAGCTGCACGAGGTAGGCCTCCTTGTGGATCTTCCCCGCCCTGAGCCGACCCACCAGCCGCCCACTCCACTTCTCAACCAGTCCATTCAGCGCCTTATGCACAGCAGATAAACCTTCATTGCCCTCTCCCATCATAATATAGAGCATCCTCGCGGTCGACCACAGAGCTTGCACAATGTCCCCGTCCTTAAGGGCCTCTTCCGCACTCAGGCGCTCCACCGCCAGCTGCATGAAGGCAACGAGGGCGGGGGGAGGGCGAGAAGGGTCCGCGAGCAGCTCAGCTGATGCCCACAGGCAGTTGCCAACGCCCTGTGTGGTCATGTCGTTGACGCGACGGCAGGCGGAAGCGAGAAGGATCTCCACTAGAGAGGGCAAGATGCCCACAGAAGACGAGAACTGCCGCTGCAGTGTACCGAGTGACCACATGACCATCGGCACGTCCCTCCCGGTCAGCTGGCTGTCCATCAGCCGATCCTGCAGCATCGATATCAGCTCAAAGTCGCCCTCTCGCCTCTTCGCCAGACTGTACAGCGCGAGAGTCAAATCCTTCCCCCGCCAGTTGCCGTCACCCAAATCCATGAACGTCAGCAACGCGCTCCAAAGCTCCTCCCCCGCGTCGTTGTGTCGGCACCATCGCGCAATCACCCACATGAGCTTGGCGACTTGTGAAGGCAAAAAGGCCCCATTTGTCGCCCGCTCGACAGCCTCGCGGACCAAACACGACACTCCATTCATGCTGCCTTCCAGACAGGCCGCTCGTTGGAGGGCCCTCACGAGTAGTGGCGTCCGCAGAGGTGACGGACCGCCTTCTTGCTGGACGATTTGGATGATTTCCCCGGTTGTCTGAGCATCGTCGATTCGCTGGTTGGTGACGAGATGACGGCTGTCCCTGTCTGTTGGCGGAGGCGATGTGTGTCGAGAGGGCTGCCGCAGAGTGCGCTGCACGACCGCATGGCTGTGTAGAGGGGCTGCCAGTGTCCGCTTGAGGGGCCGCGATGGATAGATGAAGGCGGTGCTGATTTGGCACGTGATCAATAGCAGCTGGAGGCATAATGGCAGGATGGTCATATATGTCCGTATCCTGCAGGCCGCTCCGAATCCATCAGGAAAAAGCACGAATCGAATCAGGGCGGCTGTTTCGTCAGTTGAGTGATGCCAAGATCTTCAACGATTCTCTTGCCTCAACGCCAGCTGGCCTCAAAGCTGCAGATCTCCGACTCCGAGCCGCCCAGCTCGCAGTCCCAATTGGCTTCCTGCTCATTTTTCCGCATCCTCAGCCTCGTTTCTTTTTGGCTGAGGCTGCCATCGGCCTCTCCTCCCTCTGAGGGTCACGTTGATCTTTGTCCGGTCTTCGGCTGTGCCCATCTGGTGGTGGTCAGCTTTCTGACCTCCCCCCATTGTGCCGTCCGTCTCGGCAGCTATCTCATCAGTCAGCGTATCATACTCATCTCATGGCGTCCCTCCCCTCTCTCGGCACGCCCTCCCATTTCCTCTCGTGCCGCTTCCTGGTCTTCGGCTGAAGATCCGCATGCTGGCGCCTTCTCTCAACTGACCAACGTGACGAGAACTGCTCCTGCATCTGCTGGATGGAGTCGCCGTCAGCGTCATCAGCCTTCCTGCCTTTGGGACACGCGCTTTCCCCCTCGTCCCCCTTCGTCAGAGTGTGCTGAACCGGTGCAACCGCCCTGGTGATGCTGCAATGGTGTTTCTGCGGGGATTCGAGGGCGTATGCTTTGGTGCATGTGTCAACCGTTTTTTATGCTATGTCGTCTACGTACGGGCTGTATCTATCTCGTATGAGACCCTTCTGGCCTTTATCTGTTGTCTACCTTGCTTCCCCTGACTTCTACCTGCCTTTCGTATGTCTACGAGTGGTGGTGTGAAGCAACTGGCCATGGATGTCATTCGTGTGGTCTCTCTGCCTGGTATCCATCCCAAGTGGCATATCGCCCGCGCCAAAGGGCGGCGTTTTCTTTATAGACCGTCGCCTTGCCAGTGAGTCCACAAGTATGTCATTGCATGTCAGGGCCTCATGTCTATCTGGATGTCTATCGATGAGGCGGGGCTTCCTCTGTCTGCCATCTATCTTTCTATCTAAGTCCAGTCAGGCCTCCCTCTATGTGTGGCTGTTAGCTGCCTATTGACCTGAGTGTGCGGATGTATAAGCAGATTGGGCTTCTGACAGAGCCTTTCTAGCGAGCTCACCACAGCGACCAAGGTAGGAGGGTAGGAATGCACCTTAGGCATCGTCGGTCTGCATGTTGTAGGGTGTTATGGCCTGTTTGGTCATCCTTCTTTCTCTCCTTCTGTTGTCTTCCTGCCTTCCTTGCACATGGGTCTCGCGTGTACATGGTGGTGTGTTCACCTGATTGTTGGTAATTGCGTTTGATGGCTCAGTGGGCTTCCATGTTTCGCTTCCTTCCTCTGGCTTCTGTACACTTGCCAGGGCTTCATGCTGTCGGGCGATATCGCTCGTTCTTGTGTATGTAGCCAGGGGAAGTGTTCGTCACCTGTGCCCTTTGTTGTCATCTGCATGTCGGCCGGTGCCAGTGCCATTTTGTGCCCATCCCTATGCAGGTTTCATTTTGTGGTGGACCATAGGGGTGGGTGGGTGGGTGGACAGGACTGCATCACACAGACTCGTTCTTGCGTATCCCTTCGGGGGGCCGGGGGGCAAGGTCCCCGTGAGGTTAACGAACGAACGAACGAGCGGCGCGGGATCGTCATTGCGAGCTTAAAAGGTGACACATCTGAACGGCTTTTCGAACCACCAAGTATGGATGTGTTAAGCCGTTTCAACCCGAAGATGCGAGTGGCTGCTTTGTTCCTCTGCGCGGCGTCATTTCTCTTGGACGCGGCGGCCTCAGCCAGCTGGGAGAAGCTGACAAGAAGGCGGGATGGTGGCTTTCTTTCATCGGCGTCATGCAGACAGCGCGATGGATGCAGGCGCTCCAGGGATCTTTCACGAATGCATCTTGATGTGCTACAACGTGAGCTGCCGCACACACGCACACGCACGCACACACACATGAATCACCCACCAGTCGGGCAGAAGAGGATCTGTGTGATGTTTGCCCTCTCAGGTGCGTTCTCCGGCCCCTCTGCTTTTGCCACTGCTGCCGAGGAGCCGAAGAGTCCTGTGCTCATATGCCCCGCCCAGCTTGGCATCTCAGAGGACTATCTCGATATGATATCTGAGCTGAATGCGCGAGGCTACCCCGCATATGCCGTCGATCTGAAGAGGCTCGACTGGCTGGAGCTCATCCCATCGTCCCTGACTCTTGCTTACTGGCAGGGCAAGCTGGAACCCAGCAAGGTGAGTGAGTGTGCAGCCGCCGGTGATGGTCATGCGCCCACACTGGAGCATGTGTGATGTGTCTTTCTGGCCGGGCAGGTTCTCCAGTTTTACTACCGTGCGCTGCGTCGAAGTGTGACGAGCGTTCGGGAGGCCCACCCAGAGCAGAGGATGCACCTTGTGGGACACTCTATCGGCGGTAAGTAGCGCAATCACTGAGCCATCTCTCTCCATCTGCTTGTCTGTCTGCCTGTCTGTCTGTCGGCAGGTTGGATCGTCCGCGCCTTCCTCGCAGAGGAGTACGACGACGACGAGCGGGCGTCTCTCTTCACCTCTCTGACGACCCTCGGCACGCCCCACAACCCGCCCCCGGCCGACTCACCTTTCGCGCAGTTCGATCAGACAAGAGGCCTGCTCACCTACATCGCCGACAACTATCCAGGGGCCTTCCACTCTGACCACATTAACTACAACTCTGTGGTTGGCGCGTCTGTCAAGGGCGGCCTGGGTGAGGGAGGGCTGGAGGGGCTTCTGGCGTACGCCAGCTACCTGGCTTTGTGTGGAGAGGGCGACACGACGGGCGATGGGGTGGTGCCGCAGTCCACTGCACTCCTGCCCGGCTCTTCGACGATGGTTCTGGAGGACGTCAAGCACTCGGGGTTCGTGCCCTCTCTGGGTCCGAGCATTAAGATTCCTGGGTTCAGATGGTACGGCACGCCTGATGTGGTGGACCAGTGGATAGAGCTGCTGGAGAGGGTCAAGACAGCCAGATGACAAGGATGGAGATGGATGGAGATCAGATGAGTGGATGGGGCTCATTTGCACGGGGCAGGGGGTGGGATTTTGAGATTTTGTCATGTTACGTCATGGGACGTACGTGTGTGGCGCGTGTGTGCATTGCATGCTGTGAATTGATGAATCACTTTCACTCTAGCTTAGCTCGCAGACGGCCTGGGCGCTCCCTGAAACCGCTGCCTGTTCCGCCTGGAAACGCTGCTCCTTCTTCTCATCTCCAAGATTGTGCCTTCGCAATGACTCCATCTTCGCGGCTTCTCGTCCTGCTGTCTTCCTCGGTGCTCCTAAGCCATCGTGCCTCGGCAGTGCCCTTCGCAGATCTGATCAGCGAGGCAAAAGACATCCATGCCTGGACCTCAAGCAAGCGGCGGCATCTCCACCAGATCCCGGAGCTGTTCTTCCGGGAGTTCAAGACGTCACAATTCATCCAGCAGACGCTCGACGAGGTCACTCATCGCATCGCATGAGTGCCCACACACATTAATTGCCGTCGGCCACTGATCTGTGTGTGCAGATCGGCGTCAAATACACGACTGGGTGGGGCAAGAATGCCAACGCTGGGCCGGACGGACCGCCGGGAGGCACAGGTGGGTGGGTCAGTGGGGTGGGTGTTGAGCAGTGCTGGAGTGTCGATGGGGGGCATACGGACAGACAGACGTACATGGCGCCCTGTGCCGTGCCGTGTGGCCACTGCAGGGGTGGTGGCTGACCTGGGCACTGGGAAGCCGCCGTGCGTCGCTCTCCGAGGTAAACTCGATGGATGGATGGATGGACCTGGTGCGCTTATGTATTTTCCTTCCTGCAGCCGACATTGACGGGCTGCCGATACAGGAGGAAACCGATCTCGGTTTGTGTGCACGGCGCGCGCATATGTTCACCCATTGATCCATTGCTTGCTTGCTTGTGTGCATCGATCAGACTTCAAGTCGACTCACCCTGGCCGAATGTAGGTCGCCACGGACGGACGGTCACAGCACCACAAGCAGTGGCCGTTGTCTGTCTGTCTGTCTGTCTGTCTGTCTGTCCGTCCGTCCGTCCGTCCGTCTGCCTGTCTGTCTGTCTGTCTGTCCGTGTCTGTCAGGCACGCGTGTGGCCACGACGCCCACACGACGATGCTGCTCGCAGCAGCCAAGCTCCTCAAAGAGAGGGAGAAGGACATTCAGGTCCGCAAAGGCGCAAGCTAGACATCAGGTCGATACGACAGACACTCTCTCCCTGTCTGTCTGCCTGTCTCGTTGTAGGGCACGATTAGGTTGATCTTTCAGCCTGCAGGTGAGGGACTGGATCGGTGCAGTGCATATCCACCAACACGTCTTTGCGAATGTGTCTTGCTTGTGTGTGTGTGTGGGTGGGTGGGTGCAGAGGAGGGCGGCCCTGGGGCACTGATGATGCGAGAAGAGGTGTGCCGACGCTCACCCACCGCATAAGGTTTCCCTGAATGTCTGTGCGGATTGTGTGTTTGTCAATCAATACGCACACAGGGCGTCTTGACGCAGTACCCACCTGTGCAGCAGATCTTCGGCTTCCACGTGTGGCCCAAGCTTCCCACTGGCACGTTGGGTGGCCGTGGGGGCCCCCTCCTGGCTGCCGGAGACTTGTAGCGTCACACACACAGCACACAACTGCTGCGGTAGATCGTTCATTCATCATTTCTGTTGCGTGTTGATGGCAGCTTTGATATCAAGCTGCAAGGGGTTGGCGGCCACGCTGCGATGCCTCACTTGGCGATTGACCCCGTCCCAGGGGCTGCTCAGCTGGCACTGGCACTGCAGACCCTGGTGTCGCGAGATACGGACCCCATAGAGTCTAAAGTGGTGTCGGTCACCGTCCTGCGTGTAGGCGACATCCACACAGCTGAGGGGAGGGGTCTCCATCATTGCGTGTGTGTGTGTGTGCAGACAGATTCAGATGCCAACAACGTCATTCCTGACTGGGCTATGCTCAAAGGTGCGTCTCTGCACATCGCCCCCGCCCCCACCCCCAGCGCAGCGCACACACTGCACATGACCGTGTGGCCCTCCATCTTTTCCACACACGCAGGCACATTCCGCACGCTTTCATCGGCGGCTGTCCTGGAGCTGCGTGAGCGGATACGGTCGATGTCCGAGTCGATCGCTCAGGCAAACCGCCTCAATGCGACAGGTGACCTCGTACACCTCGTGCACACACACAGCCCCACAGAGACCATCTCATCCGTGCGTAATGGTGTGTTAAAACATCTTGATGCAGTGACGTACCTCAAGGACTTTGCGCCGCCCACCCTCAACGATAACGACATGTGGACCATGTTCACTGAGGTAGGACAGGACACAAAGGATGGGATGCGTGACGACACACTGACAGACACTTCGTGCACTTGCTGTGTGTGTGCCTGCCAGGTGATGTCCGAGGCCAGCGATTCGCTGCCTGCCGGCCTCCTGGACTTCCCCCTGTCTGTCACTGAGGTCCCTCCCACGATGGGCGGAGAGGTTGGGAGGGAGGGGCGCACACACACACAGACGCACAGACGGCCACCAGCCATCCCCGGTGGTTTCACATCGATCCATGGATTCGATGAGTGCAGGATTTCTCTTTCTTCACCGAGGCCGTCCCTGCCCTGTTCGTGCTGCTGGGACACGCGTGAGTGCGCAGGGGACGTCCACAGGATGATTCCTATGGTGTGCTGTGTGTATCCATGAGCGTGTGCAGTGACGGCAAGGGCATTTATGGCCAGCCGTCTACTTCGGTGTCTGTCCACAATCCCGAGTTCGCCCTCGACGAGCGAGTGCTGGACATCGGAGGTCAGTGGGCAATGTGAGCACTTCAGGTCGGTGCATGAAATTCCATTCTGTGTTGTTTGTTTCAGCCGCCCTCCATCCATATCTCGCCTTCTCTGCCCTCGATCGCCTCAGCAAGGGCGGCACCACCACAAAAGACAAGCCCACCAAGGCGGAGCTGTAATGCAGACAGAGTCTGACAGACATACAATGGGACGTCCGTCGGCCTGCCTTTTCTAGTTGGCGGTTTATGTCCTGGTCTCGTTTGCATCTCTGATTCATGTAAGTGTCTTGGTCCCTGTGTTGTTTTTGTGTGGAATAAGGAAGGCTTTTTGAATGAAATGGGGGTAGTCAGTCATTGTGATCAAGGGGGAAGGAAGGAGGGAGTGGGGGGAGTGTGTACTGCACCGTTTTGGCTCTTGCAGTGACAACACACGTCCTTTCTCCGTGTCGGGCTTTTATGGCCATGGTGATGAACGCACTGAACGCGCAACACATTATTCCAGTCTTGACGCTTCGCGCACCCCCTATTGTCTTAATTCTTTTCGCTACGCCGGGACAACTCAGCAAAATCTTGGCCAAAGGTAAACTCTTGAGGAGCGTCGATCCCGTACACATCTGCCATCCCCGCCCCTTTTCGGCCCCTCACTCACCGTCAATGTCATGCACTATCTGCCCTTCGTCGCCGTGTCGCTGCTCATCTCCGTCCACGCCCGAAGCTACGCATACAGCGACCGAGGAAACGACGAGTCTCCTCCAGCAACGGCAACAGGAGCGCGGCGGCTCGACAAGGGGGCTGTGGAGGCTGCTTCTGCACATCCTGATGGGCGACAACCGACGGCAGCCGAGAAGGAGGCGGGGAAAGGCAAAACGGAGAAGTGGTCTGTTTCTGACTGGCTGAAGAAAAAGGGTGTTCCCAAGGGATTCCCTCCCGTCGCCTGGTGCACCGACAAGCGCATGACCGCCGCTGTGGCCGTCGCGAGCGACCCGGCTCTCTCAGGCGCCCGGCGAGGGGGCTTCCGCAACAGCACTGCTGACCCCGATTGTGGCGCCACCTTTGCTGAGGACTTCTTCTCCCCTGCGCATGCACTGATCGCATCTGTGGACTTCTCTGCTTGGCCGGGGAAGTGCGGGATGGCGACAAGCGAAAGCGACCGATATGTCTACCACACGAACGTGAGTGAGAACAGCCTGCCTGTAGTTTGTGGAAATGACCTACCTGCGATTGCCTGTGTCTGTCGTTTGTGTGCAGGTGCTCCGCGTGTATGGTGCGAGTAACAATGCCGTCGTCACTTGTGCGTGCCACAAGGAGACCGGTCAGTGCCACCCAACGGCCAGGTGGGAGAGCAGCACACAGGCGCTGATTGCCTTCGACGGCAACAAAACGCTGGCCACCGAGATGAAGGCTGTAGCCCAGGGGCACATGCTCTCCAGCGGCCTTTTGGCAGGCGAGAATATGACGATCCACATCCCCAACGACGACGAGTAAGCGTGAGGGTCTGCAATCCTTCACACAACTTCCATTTGGCAGCGTGACTCTTTGTGTGTGTGTATGTGTCAGCTCCTTTGTGTTTGAGTCGAGCGTCGTCGGGAGCGATTTCCACCCCTGGCCCATGCTGTGTGACGCCCTCTGTCCCGAAGGCTATCAGAGCACCGACCCTGCCTGCGTCCACCATCTGGTCGTCAATGGCTGCCCTGTCAGCGACGAGCTGGACTTCCGTGTGCGCGTGCAAGACCCCGGCAGGATCGTCTTCTCGATGAAGCCGATGTCTCTCCACGGCCATGACAGCATCAAGGTCCAGTGCATGATGACGGCCTTCGCCCAGAAGACTTCCGTGGATGAGCAATGCCGCTTCAGCAAGACCGCCCTCAAGAGAAGGAGGAGGCTACAGACATGGAATGACACAGACGCGGGAGCAGTACAGAAGCCCGCAGTCGTCACGTCGCTGCCGACCAGCGGGGAGGTGGAAGGCCAAGGTCTTCTCCCTACTGCTCTCGGAACCGTGGCGCAGAACCCATGGGCACGTGCCGGCACTCAGACCCTCATCACCGAGGTGTCCAACGAGATTGTCTACGACAACTGGAGCGTTCAATGGGGGAGAGACATCGAGGCCGGCGGCGACACTGCAGTGCAGGTCGGCAACGATTTGGCATTCGTCGGCGTGGGGGTCGGCAAGAAGGAGCGGGAGGTCAGCGTGAATGCGGGAGTGGGCAAGTTCGCGATCTCGTATTCGTCGGACGAGAGTGACGCCGAGGCGGGGGCGGGCGTCGCGTACGGGGCATACAGTGTCCGAGTAAGTAGAAAAACACATCGATGGACGGGGGGAGGTAAGGAGAGAGGCCATTCATCATCCCTTGGTGTCGTCTGTTTCCTCGATCAGGTTGACCAAGACGCCGACGACCGTCAGACAGCGGTCGAGGTGGTGGCGAGGGGCGTTGAGACGGGCACCAACGTCGACATCCTGGACAGAGACTACGGGCAGCGCGTCAAAGTCAGGAACACCGAGGTCGCCGTCAGGTCAGACATCAGCAGACACTAACAATTCTCATGCACTTCATACTCGATCCGTCCTCTCATCGTCCACCCGAAGGCACGACTTCAACGACTTCGATGACCCGACGACAGATGACGATGAGGAGCTTGCCACGGAGGTGTTTGCGGGCTACAAGTCGGTGGCGGTGGCAGTGGGGCAAGATGTTCAGGACACCGAATACGCCGTCAGCGTCGGCGTTCTGGGATATCAATTCTCCGTGCTGCGGGACTTCGACGAGAGAGAGACTGACTTCCAGGGTAGGGGATGCGCCACGCACCCAGAAACCCGACACATGTGAGTATCCGTGGTCTGCAGGGAACTGGGGCGACGGATACCAGTTGGTTCTCAATGGTAAGGAATGGACGAGTCGTCTGGTCTATCCACCTGGCTCTGTCCCGTTTGCGTGTGCGCGTGCGTGCGTGTGTTCTAGGCGACTTCCCCGATCCAGCCAACACAGAGGTGTTCATCCAGGTCGGCTTCGGCGTCCTGGGCGTCACGTACGTCCAAGTGGGCGCCGGTGTGGGCGGCGACGGCATCCCACAGGGATCTGCGGAGGTCGAAACGGAGGACTTTGGACTGGGCTTTGACTTCATCGACGACCTGGGCGACAGGCTATTTCTGTACTCCATCACCGTCGGCAAGTTCACCTACGTCTGGTAGACGCGAGACCCACACCGACACAGCCAGCACTGTGAGTGAGTGTATGATTCTGTGTGTGTATGTGTGTCTACTAGGGAGTCTGAGGTCGTGCCAGAGGGGCTGAAGATCCCTTTGATCCTCGGGGCGGGGCCACTCTGAGAGAAGAGAGGGGGGTAGAGAGCGAGAGGGGGGGCGCCTGCCTGCGTAGCTGTTGAGCTGCTCGCGAGGTATGCAATTCGATAGAGGCCAGCGTGCAGGCGTCAAAGTGATGACAGTGGGCCTGCCGTCTGTGCGCGACGTACTTTTCTCTTGCGTGTCTCTACTTCACATCGCCTTCGCGGCTTCCATACTTTCGTGTTGTGTTGTGTGTTCGGCCCTCAGTCTGGATTTGTGGTTTATGTACTTATTTGTACTACCCGTTCTTTATGTCCATATCCATCCAATCCATGCCTTGCCTTGCCGGAAGCTCCCCGCACATGAATGCGGTCATTTCTTTTTCAGCTCCATCTCTCAGAGACATTTTTGCAGAGAGACATAGGGGAGGGAGTGAGACGTGTTTATGTATTGCGCCGAGGATGCGGGAATAGCCATGGCATCCCCTGGTGTATGGGTGGAATGGAATGCTTTAAGGAGCACGATGCTCGGCTCAAGCAAGTGGTCAATTGGTTCAGCTGATTTTTACCGCCTTGGCGGCTGAGTGTTGGTCTTTCAAGCCGTTGGACACACATGGGCAGCAGGCTGTGTATGATGTCCTGTGAACACAGAGTTGTATTGCCTACCACTCACCCGCTGAGACACACACGCCAACAAACGCATTTCGCCCACCCGCTGAGACACAGGCTGACGACCCCGGACGCGAGCAAAACACCTATGATTCACACGGTCGCCAAAAAAGACCATACACGGGAGGACACAAAGCAGTAGCCATGGCTGCCATGCCAATCAGCGGGGCGCGAGCCGAGTGCGAATGGCCACTGTGGTTGAGCTGACTTGAGCGAGCTGAGCGGCCGAGCTGACTCTGGCAGAGTGCAATATTATTGAGCCACAATGAATGGTTCGTGCATTCCTATGCCTTCCATCTCTGTCACGGATGGATTTCACTCACATGCACCTGTCTGTCCGTCTGTCTGTCTGTCTGTCTGCACACACACGCGTCCACTCCACGGATGAGTCCATCCCATTCGGCCGGACGCACCACATGCAGCCAACTTGCACACACACCATCCCACTAACAGCCCGCCAGCCAGTCAGCCGCCCAGTCAAGCGGGTCATCCTTCGAGCCAAACGACCATCCTGCATGACAGAAACCAACACACAGGAGGCACACCATTATATGCATGTCTGCATCATCTGGGTGGCTCTCACCTTCATGATCATGGCGCCTGGCCGTCAAGCACGATGGCCGCGATGGGCCCGAGGACGCGACGGGCTTTGGCGGCCGTCAGGGGGAATCGTTGGGCGAAGGGGGCGTCATGAGGGACACCCGCTGCTCGCACCTCGCTGGTAGCGATGAAGATGCGCACTGCATGCAGACAACAGCATAGCAGATGATCAGACGAGACGAAAGCATGAACATATGCTGTGAATGTGTATACGTACCGTCCTGGTTGTTGCCTAGGGCAATGACGAAGAAAATCTCTGCGATGACTGGGTCGTTGGATGACGTCAGAACATGCACCTACCCACACCGCCCACTGGCCCCCTCAAATGCCGTCACGTCTGAGCACTCGTCAAGGGCCGTGTGTGGCGATCGAGTTATGATGCGGTCAAGGTGGCCGCCACGCACACCCCTGACACACACATCAATAGCGCACCAAATAGCCATTCGCCCTCTCATTGTGTGGCCGTCCATCCTCTCACCGGTCCACCACCACTGTTGGCGAGTCGGTGAAGCCGCCCACAGCCTCAAACCGGTATTGCAGCATCCGACGCTTCAACATGGAGCTCGCCAATGCGTCAACGGCCCCATACACGCCAATCGAAATCCAGCCCACACCAGGCTGCCAGCAGAAGCGGCAGCGGACTGGCGGGTCGTGTGGCTTGGCGTGGTGGGTGAAGGGGTGCTGCGAGAAGGGATGGACGGGGCGGCCGGGGAGGGGGAGGGGCGGGTTGAGTGTGATAGTAAAGTTGGGCTCGTTGCGGATGGCGCGGATCTCGTTGTTGTTGTGGCGGAACAGCTCGAGTGTGCCGTCATGCTGGCCAGTGGGGCGGCGGAAGGGCACACGGCGGCCGACCAGCATCCACTGCGCAAAGAAACGGGGCAGCGCCAAGAAATCCTGCAGCCAACACACACACATCCAGCAGCTCACCGATTGCCTCTTCTGTGTGTCGTGCTTACCGCCTTGGTGGCGTGTGTCTGCAGAGCTCCAGCACCAACAATGACCAGCAGCTGGCAATAGCCCGAATGCTCGGCGACTCTGAGTGTGTCGGCCACCTCCCCCCAGCCGCCCTCGCCCCCCTCCTCCACCACCCACATGGCCTTCATCACTTCGCCGTGGCTCAGCTGATCGTCGAACTGCACCACACCACTAACCCCCGCCCGCTCGATGGCCTTCGGCAGCCGAAGCCGGCGGACGATCGGCCGCACGGCGTTGGTGAAGTGGCGGGCTGTCGATTTGAATCGGCCGATGGTGGTGAGGTCAGACAGTTCCAGGATGACGCTCATGGGCTCGGCAGGGATGTCAGTCAGGTGCCACCGTCGCGCCTGATGACACACAGACAGAAGGACATACACACACACAGCACATAAGAGGTGCACACCACATCAGTGTGGGCCTTGTGTTTGTGCCTGCCTGTGGTCGCTCCCCCACTCACCTGTGTGCGGCGATGTCTTGTGAGTGCGATGGTCGAGTTGATGGTCTCTGCCAACTCGGCCAGCAGGTTCGACACGGCAGCAAATTGACGACTCACCTTGGCCACCATCTGACGAATGACACAACACGACGAGAGCGACGCCAAGCAAAGTAGACTCGACAGACACACAGAGGGCCTTGTGGTGTGTGGTGTGTTTGGCAGCCTGCCGCACCAGTGGTGCCATCGAAGCCGCGGTGTCCATCTGCAGAAGTTGGTCGATGCAGCTGTTGACCTGCACACCACACACACAAGCAAGCAGCCGATGAGCTTTGGATGCGCTGCATGGAATGGACGAGTCGGTATGTGTGTTGGTCAGCTGATACCTGAGCCTGCTTCAGCCGATAGCCTTCCACCCGGGGCAGCAGCTGCGCCCGTATCACCGCGCTCATCTGCACCAAACCGAATGACAAACCACACAGACAGCACAAGTGATTCACGTCATGATGTAGGGATTTGCCTGGCCTGCAGCTCCCTCTTCTCACCTGGGCGGCGACACTGGCAGCCATCGTGCAGCCAAGTCGCGAAAGCTATGAATCGGAGTGCTGTTTTGTGGCTTCAACAGGATCTGCACACCTCTGCTGTCGCCATGCTACATTCTCTTCGTGTGTGTGGAAAGAGAGCTCAAAAGCTCGCAGCTGAGCTCGCAGTCTGGGGAGTTGTTGGGAGCCGAGGGATGGCGGATCTCATCTGCCAGATTGCGGCAGGGAGGCGGCAAGGGCATTGATCAACGTGAAGAGATCGGCAAAGTGCAGCGCGGATCTGCCGTGCACCTGTGTGCCGTGGAGACCACCGGTCAGGTGCGTATGTATGATGATGGCACGGATGTGCAACAGACTTCACATGTTGATGTGTCCTCCTGTTATCCATCTGATCTGCAGGTTTTCATCTGACAAGGAGCGCCCGACACCGAGGTCAGATCTTCTACGGACACCTTGACGTCGACGGTCATCGATATGCATATGCATGTGCATGTGTGTGTCGACAGATCTGCACGGTTCCGTCCCGATGGCTCGTCGGCTGAACGTCAACGTGGGTGTGCTAGGTCACGTCGACAGCGGCAAGACCAGCCTCGTGCGGGCGCTCAGCCGCATGACGTCCACGGCAGCCCTCGACAAACACCCCCAGTCGCAGGAACGCGGTATCACCATTGACCTCGGCTTCTCTGCCTTCTTTGTCAAGACCAATCTGGGTGCTGATGAGGCTGCTGATGAGAGGGAGAGGGAGAGGGAGCTGCAGTTCTGCTTGGTGGACTGTCCTGGCCATGCCTCGTTGATCAAGACCATTATCGGGGGGGCGCGCATCATCGATTCGGTGCTGCTGGTGATTGACGCGACCAAGGGGGTGCAGACATAGACGCAGGAGTGCCAGCCCATGGTGGTCGTGCTCAACAAAGTCGACCAAATTCCAGAGGTGTGGAGGGTATCGTCATATGGGGCCGCCCTCTGCAGGTTCTGTCATAGCTACTCGCCCGCGTGGCAGAGAGCAGAATGGCAGAGATCAGAATGGCGTCGAACTGGTCCACACCCAGTGCAGGTGCCCTCTCGTTGGCCTCCTGTTGCTGCCTGTTGCTGCCATGGCCATGGCGGTGGGCGCCGCCGTGCCGCTTGTGCTGGCCCTTCTTGAGCTGCAGCAGACCCGTGGGAGCGTCTTGCTGCCTGGCCGACACCTCACAGAGAACGGATGATGACACTTTCTTGATTCATGCGCATGAGAAAAGACATCATCCTAGCCTTGGCCAGGACATGACCGTTGAGCGAAGTTTACCTCGCGTACAGCAAAAGGCCGTTTCTGTTCGTCGTATTTCATTATCTCCTCCTTCTCTGTGCGCTTCCTTCTCTTCTCCTCTGAACGCCATGATGCTGGTGCTGGCTCTTGTCTCGTCTTTGCTGCTGGCATGTGGAGCAGACATGGCGCCCTCCGAGTTCCTCATCCCCTCTCCCTTCCTCGAGTCACGCATTCTCCCACACGGCCCTGACCAGCAAGGAGAAGCAGCAGCCCAGGCCAGCGATGTCACGCCTGCCCCTGCAGCCGACGACGAGCTGACCCAGGCAGCCAACGTCACACCGCCCCCTGCAGCCAATGACAACGCCCCCGCAGCGAACGACGACGCGACCGGCCGGCTGTCTCTCCTCGACAAGGACGGTCCCGGCTCCCTCTTGGATTTGCCGCTGCTCGACGCGCTTGACAACGACTTCCTCGACGGCGACATCATCGATTTCATTTTCGACTTGGACGAGCAGGGCGGAAGGACCACCTCCCTCGGCAGCGACCTTGATGCGTTCAAGGAGGGGCTGCGGCACATCAGGACGGCCGGCAGGGGCACCCCGCTGAGAGAGGCCGAGCTGCTGGCCAGTGACGCGGGGAAGCTGCTCACAGACCTCAGCAAGGCTACGGGTGTGTCGTTCATGGAGCTCGGCGAGGAGGTCATGGAGATCCTGCAAGGCGACGAGACGCTCACGGGGTCCGTGCAGGAGCTGCGGGGGCGGCTGCGTGACGCTCTGGGGGCCGTCGGTGAGGCCGAGGCCGAGAAAGTCGTGAACAAACTCAGTGAGGCCGAGAAAGTCATGAGCAAGCTCACTGGTGAGTATGTTGATGCCGACAAGATGGAGGAAGCGAAGGAGGAGGATACGAATGTCGAGCCGCTGATGGCCGCGGCGGATGTGCTGTTTGGCGGTGATGGAGATGTCGATCTGACGGATCCTGTGAAGGGCAGGCTCAACAACGTGGCGGGGGCCGTGTCGTCGGTGCTCAAAATGAAGGGCGTAAGTCAGCAGGGGTCCTTTCTGTACGTGTTGCACTGATGAGTGTGTGCGTCTGTGTCTTGTGTGGATGGGCAGGATGACAGGACGGTGGTGCCTGACCGGCTGAGCAAGTCCCTCAACGAATTCGCCATGCGCTCTAATATGAAAGACGACCCTTTGGTGAGTGAGCGAGACACACACACAAAGGGCCCACCCATACCATACACACCTGTGCCTGTGTCCATCCTTGTGTGTGTCTGCTGTGTCCCATGGTTGTTGTGTCTGTCAGTCGAAGCTCTTCGACCTGGGCATGGAGCTATTCTTGGTGCAGAAGCTGCTGCCGACGGTGTGATGTGACGTTCTCCGACGTGCGGCGTGTTGGATAATACTTCTTTCATGAATGCATGACGATGCACACACACCTCGGGCGTGGTGTTTTGTCGACCGACTACAGCAATTAGTGGCAGCAGGGTAGGTGAGGTTGGTATTTGTTATCCCATTGCGTGTTCGTGTGTGTGTGGGTGCCAAAGCGCGCCGCTTCCAATAAGTGTACCCACCCATATATCCCATCCATCTTTAGCTAGCTATCCCTCCACGCCGTTTTTTGTATTTATGTCCCCAATTGACACAGACACCCATGTATGTATGTGTGTATCCTATCCATCTGTGTGTGTATGTATAATCAAGTATGGCAACAAATAGGTGGTGTTGAACCGAACCAAACCATTTTCCCATCCATCCATCCATCCATCCCACACACATACGTACACACACACTCGTACCGTACTCGTGTAAGCGAGTGTTCGCCTCGTCCCGATAGATAAAGTGACAAATAACACACAGACAGACGACCCACCGACGTGAATTTATTCGGTCGCTTCAATCTGGAAGCGCATACGCTGCCCGTAGCATAGCAGGCTGTCTCTCTAGCTGTACTGTACACGAGCATCACCACTCGATCGCATCACAAGCACCCATGCCCGAATCACAACACACCGATAAACAGATAGCTAACTACGGACACAACTCGCTCGTTTCTCTCGTCTTTTCGCCTCTCTGACCGTCTGCTGTGGCGTACTTAAGGCCCCCCTTGTCACAGCGCCTCACAGCTCATGAGAGGTGCTCCAACCAACCAGGGCGGCTTCGAGAATGAATGCCACATCAGTAGGGATGGATGGATGGATGGAGTCCGTCACATCAGGTCCTCGTGAATGAGTCACCAGTAGGTGATGGCCTTGGGGTGTCTCGTGTGATGCACCAGGAAGTTCACCGTGTCCTGGCAGCTGTCGAACTCCTGACATACACACAGAGACATTCATCGCTTTCCTTGTGTGTGCGCGTGGATCGACATCTTGTTCTGACATACGTACCCGTCTGTCGTCCTGTTTGTTGGACATCGGCTCGACCCCCTCCCCCGCGCCGCCCTCGCCAGCCCTCTTGCAGGGCTTCAGCACATAACGCAGGTCGCCCCCTTCCCTCTGCTGAGCCAATGTACTCGTCTGCATCACAAACACACACACACACACACACAGAGACAGATATTGATGCTCGTGTGTGTGAGGGAGGGGGGAGGGGGGAGAGAAAGCGTACAAACCTGCTTGTGTTTGAGCAGGACGAGCCACTGGACGACCGTGTTGAGCTTGGCCTTCTCGTACACATCGCCGCTCTGCGACACGGGCGTCAGCCGAAACTCAGCACGGATACCTGGGAAGCCACCCACACACACATACGGTGTAGCTGCACGTGTCTATGTGTGTCTGCATGCCCACTCGACCGACCTAGCTTCCGTAGCTCCTTTGCCAGGTGCATGGCTCCAAACAGAAGGGATGACTCGTCGCGCAGGAAGACGATGATGACCTGTGGGGCGTTGGCATCCGAGTATCTGTATGTCTGCGCGAGTCGGCCGCCCTGGCCCTTGCGCGGCCGAGCGTGGCGTGGACGGCTCTCCGCCTACACACAAAACACCCACACACACATCCATCCACACACGGCACACGCGCAGGTCGATTCGTGTCTATATGTGGAAGTACCTGCATGGCAGCCCTGATGACCTTCTCGAGGGCGATCTCGAAGCCAATGGCGGACAGCCGCGGCCACTCTGACATGTTGTAGGACCGACCCAAGCTGCACGTGCCCCCCGACAGACACACACACACAGATGGATACACATGGATGAGTGGACAGATCAGTTGATGTGGTCTGCTTACCGTCCTTTCTGCAGTCTGTCGATGAGCTGGTCGTATCTGCCGCCTGAGGCAATGATGTCCCCGCCAGACACCGTGCCGAAGAACGCGAATGTCTGCACGCACCAACCATTGACACGAGCGTGACACACTCACTCACATCGAGAGGGTGCGTATTCGGTGCGAGATACCTCGTCGTAGAGCCACGCGTCGAAGTCTAGGAGCAGGTCGAACGTCAGGTCGACCCGCTGACGCACCTCCAGCAACGAACACACCTCCAGGAACAACCGGATCTACACACGCACACAGGTGACCTGTGTTGACGTGTGCAGGTGGTGGTATTATGTGGGTGTCGGTGTACCTGTGCGCAGAGGAGGAGAACTCTCGGCACGCTGCTCTCCTTCTCCTTGACCTCGCCGCCACTCGTGCGGGGCGACGACTGAGCCGTGCTCGAGGGCTTCCTGCGCCCACACATACATACATGCCCCATCGTGTGTGTGTATGTGTGTATGTGTGTCTGTGTGTATGGGGCCATACCTGTGTGTGAGGTGGGGGTGCGTTCGGTGTGATGGCGGGAGGGGCGGCAGCGTGTCGTGCATGGCGTGGTCGTGAGATGAGCGAGACAACGACTCGATCTCGGACAGCAGATCTGTATGTGTGGGGCATCCACAACAAACAGCCTTTGTGTGTTTATATGTGTGTGTGTCGTTGATGCACATACCTTCAGTGCTCCCCCGTCTGTGCAGGACACGCGTGAGATACTGAGCCGGCAGCTTGACGCTGGCAGTGGACGGCAGGATGCTCTGGACACACACCACACACACCACACACACCCAGTCAGTGGACACATCCATCCATCCATCTCTACCGCACCTGGAGTTTTTCCTTGAGCTGTGTGTAAGTGGGTGTGGAGGTGCTGTGCCGCAGCCACTTGATCACCTCCGGGACACGATCACGCGGGAACTGACACCACCACACAGCCACCACCACCACCACCACCACACAAGACACTGATGGATGTATCAACACACGTGTGTCTGTGTCTATGTGTGTGTGGGTACCCTGCAGGTCTCCTCCAGGAAAGCCTCTAGGAGGTGCCCGTTGGTCCACCTCAGCTCCACGCGGCCAAGCGTCGCCGCATGCGCACTCAGCGCCTCGACAAGCGTCTCCACTACTTCGGCCTGCACGCACACACACACACACACGCACACACACACGAACAGAGACACGTATGCCCCTTGATGGATGGATGAGTTGTATATGGTCCTCACCTGCAGCAGAATGAGTGCCCGTTGTTCGGCGGTGATGAGCTGTCTGTGGTCGTCGGCGTGGCTCTCGGAGGAGGAGTCCATCTGTGTGGTGTTCCGGCTTGGCACAGTCGGCACCAAAGCGTCGCTCGTGAACAGCTCGGACGGCCCCAACAGCACCTCATACCTACAAATCAAATGGACCACACACACACACATGGATGTCATGTCTTGCGCGTGTGACTATCTGTTGGGGGGGAGCGGCTAGATACATACATTGCTGCGAGGTGCTCTTTGGGGTATCCGTATTCGCTGTATTCCTCGGCAAACGCGCCGGGCAGCTCGGGCGCACGTGGCTGCGGTGGGGGCTCCCTGTCCACGAGTAGATGACACAAACACACAATGCGTGTGGACGCACTCACTCTCTCTCTGTGTGTGTGTGTGTGTGTTCGCGTGTGTGTGTCGTGTACCTGTAGACGGGCAGGATGGCATATCGCCTCAGCACCGAATGAGAGGAAGACGCCATCACCATCGGCGCAGTGCGCGCGAAACACTGCGTCAGCTGCACAGACAGACAGACACCACCCACCCACTCAATCAGTCCATGTGCACATCAACACGCATTATTGGCGTCTTCACGTGTGTGCGTGAGCTGACGTGCCTGGAAGGGCAGGTGGAGGAGCGTGTTCGAGGCGTCGATGACCTGCTGCCGCGACTTGAGGATGGCGGCCGAGTGGTGCATCGGCGCCCACGAGGGGCTCAGCACACTGCTGCTGCTCTCCGCCGCCGCTGCTGCCGCTGATGCTGCGGTGGTGCTCGACGGACGGTCTACACATCCGTCCACACACAAGTTATAGAAGGAGTCGCGTGTTTATGGGGCGATAGGGGGGTTACCAGCGAAGGATCTGAGTGCCTGCAGGTCAGCAGTGGTCTCTGTCACGGGCTGCAGCACCGGCACAAAAGACCGGACGGCTCCGCGACGCCTGTTGGTGTCAAATGGGGCCACAGACATAACACATGGACAGGTATGAATCCATATATCAGCACACACACCTGAATATCTCTTCCAGGTTGTGGCTGATCTCCTCTCGGACCACCAACTCCACACGGCTGGGAGCCTTGGTGAGACCCACACACACGAACACACACATACATACAAAGACATCCACAAATGTGTGTGTGGGGGGGGTCTTGTCGGGTACGCCGAGGCACCTGGAAGAACTTCCAGTATGCCTTGTCCTTGGCCTGCGCCACGTGCGTCTCGGGCGGTGCGAAGAGCATGCTCATGAGGCCCACGCTCTCGCTGCTGAAGGGGTTGGACAGCACATTCAGCACACTCCGCAGCTGCACACACACATAAACGCACGGACGATGCACACACACATACACACATTAACACATGGTGCGTACCTGTTGCTGCTCGACAGACGGCGGGACGAGAGGGCTTCGCAGCAGCTCACTCACAGAGGGCCGGTGGGAGGGGTCTTGCTGCAGCAGCTGGCTGCACACACACATGACAGACATGGGCGCACTCTGTACACACACACGGTGTCATGACTTCGTGTACGTGAGCATGGCCACGGCGTCGTCGCCCGCCGTGTCGACAAAGCCTCGGGGGTACTCCAGGCGCCTACAGGCACACACACACACACACATTTACACCCATATACATGTGTGGCAATGTGTGTGTGTGTGTGGATGGTGCGAGGTCGCTCACGTGCAGAGGGCCGTCAGGACGAGGGCGCGCTCCATCAACGTCCTACACACACACACACACACACGGATTGGCGTGTGTGAATGCGCTCCTCTCCCCCATCGATGCATCAGGCGTACGTGAAGGGCGGATGCAGCATCTCGAAGAAGATCACACCTGCAGGCGCAGACACGAGGAAGGTGTGTGCGTGTATGTGTTGTGTGTATGTCTGTCTGTCTGTCTGTCTGTGTGACAGTACCTACCGAGTGAGAATATGTCGACCTTCTGGTCGTAGGTGTTGCTCTCCCGCTGCTCGGGGGCCTGGTAGAACATCGTCCCAACACCGGACGACAGCCGCTGCTGCTGCGACAAGACGTCACTCTGACACACACAGACACGCCCATCACACACACATGGATGGCGTGTGCATGCTCACCACTGATGCCTGAACAGCTGCAGCTGCGGCGCGTGTGGCTGTGTCCTTGGTGGACGGCCCGCCCCCCTCCTTGGCGACAGTGATGGTGATGGTCTGGCTGTTGGACCTTGAAGGCGTCTGCTGAATACCACGCACGCACCACACACACACACGAATTGGCCATCGAGCGTGTGTGTCGATCTCTCTCTCTCTCTGTGTGCGAGTGGCGGGGGGGACTTGCCTGGACGTTTGTTTGCGTGAGAAGGACAGAGAGCCCGAAGTCGCCGACCTTGACGTTGTTGCTCTTGTCCAGAAAGATGTTGGACGGCTGCACATATGCATACACGCGCACACACACACACACACACACACATTGACACACACCGGATGGATGTGATGTGGCTGTCCGTGCTGGTCAGCCACCTTGAGGTCTCTGTGGATCATCCCTCTGTGGTGGATGTGCAGCAGGGCTTCGAGCAGCTGTCCTCGACAGACACCAACGGACAAGACAACCGTCTGTGTGTGTGTCCGAGTGTCTGTCTGAGTGTGTGCATCTCCATAGCACAAACATCAGTAGGCACCTGTCTGAAGATCTGCCAGCAGAGGTCGCGATCCTTGGCCATCTGCCCTGAGTCTATCGCCTCCCTCAGCGTGCGGCCCCCACTGAGACAATCCATCCATCCATCCATCCATTTGGGTGCATCGAGGTATGCCTCTTTGTGCTAGAAGAGCCCACCAGAATTCCATTTGGATGTAGAGGTACGTCTTGCTCTCCATGGCCGCTGCGGCGTTCCCCTCCTTGCCGCCCTTGCCACCGCCCTCCCCTTCCCGACCACCGATGCCCTTCTTGTCGCCAACACCCTTCCCCTTGTCGTCATGTGGACCCCTACACACACACACACACACACACAGGCACGCTAATGTCGGCAGATGGGGAGGGTACAGGCAGGCAGGCAGGCAGGCGCACCTTCCGAGCATTGATGGCGACTCGCTGGAAATCCAGTCGGCCACCCCGACACCCAGGGTGGACACACCCTGCACACACGAACAGGCAGCCACACATTGAAGACACATCCATCATTCAAGGGTGTCGTGTGGTGTGGCGCTGGCTCCCGAACGAACCGGTGGCAGCTTGTCTCCCGGCGATGTGCTGCTCTCCAGCCAAGCCGCGTAGTACCGGACCACATAGACATGCTGCAGACGAGGCAGCAACGCAGCCTCCTGCACACACACACACACACACACACATACACACACGCACATAGGACACCGACATGACTGCATCACCAATAGGCCCCCTCAGTGTGTGGTTGAGTGAGTACCTGTAGAGTCCTCCTGTTGAGCTCTTCGTCGTGTGGTGACAGCTGGATGCGCTTGACGGCGTAGGCGCGGCGGTCGATGCGGTGACGCACCTTGGTCACAACCCTACACACACAAGCACACAAACACGAACACGTGACGCATTTGCGGGCGCACAGTACAGGTGTGTGTCTTTGTTTCCTTAATATATTTGCGCTTACCCGAATGCGCCTGTGCCCAGCACCCTGACCGAATGATCCACACCAACACACACACGGACGGATGTGTGTCGATGTCTGTGAGCATGTGTGTGTCTGTGTGCGCACCTGAGTTCCTCAAAGTCGCTCCTGTATCTGCTGTACACGGCCGCATGGTTCTGGGCCGCCGAAGGCGGGGGGACAGGCCGCTCGCCACGCACAACCATCTGCACACAGACAGACATAGGGAGAGACGCCCCCGTGGATGCGCCTTCGCGTCAGTGCAGTGAGTGGATTGGGTACCTACCTTCTGTTCCCTGCCAGGTTTCTTTTCGTCGCCCTCAATTGTGATCTGGGGAGGCGGGAGTGGCGCGAACTGCGCGTGGTGGTGGCCGTGAGGACGCTGCGCACACGAACACAACACACGCGCATACGCCTCCATGGATGCGCCTGTGTGTGTCTGCTCCTGTGCTTACAGCCTTCTGTGACTTGAGCAGCCCTGACGGCGGCAGTGGTGACCCCCTGACACGACACAATCACCCACAACACACATAACATAGGCGCATGCGGACAGACGGGGATATGCTTGCTGACCGAGGGCTCTGCACCGCGTGTGGCGATGGCGGTGGAATTTGCGACAGCAGCCCATCGGCGCCCTCAGACGTGGCACGCACACGCCGCCCCGGCCGGTTCCATGTGGACCACTCAGGCGCCTGCAAACACACGCACATCCACGCGCACATTGCGATGCGCGGCGCGTTTGAGTGAATGGATGCAGCACGCGTTCCACCCTCCAAGATGCTTACTTGTAGTTCGAATGTCTCCATTTGGTCGTCGTGGTCTTCGTCTTCGCCCACCCACTCGTGGTCGCTCTTGTCGTCTCTCTCGCCCTCGCTGAAGGGCTGCTGGGGCGCGTGCTGGGGCGTGTGGCGCTTGTCTGACCGTGGACCCACACACCAACACACACGTGGATGGATGGATGGATGTCTTGGGGATGCGTGGCTGCTTACGTGGTGTGTGAGGGTCGGATGCATGTGCGTGTCTGTTTTGCTGCGGCGATGGGCCCTCTGCCGTGTCGGAGTACTCCTCGAAGTCACTCGTGGCGGCGCTGTCACTGGGGGATGAGCCCGACATCGAGTGCGCCCTCGCCCGCTGCGCCTGCACCTTGGCGTGATAACGAAGCACCTCCTACACACACACACACAAGAAAGAGACGGAGGGGGAGGGATTGTGCGTTGTGTGCCTGTGCCTGTGCCTGTGCCTGTGCCTGTGTGTGGAAGCTCTGACCTCTTCAAGTTTCTGGCCTTTGAGGGCATGCATCTCGATCTCGTCGTCTTGCGCACTGAACGGCGGGGTCACCAACAGACACAGTGGTGGTGGGTGTGACAGGTGTGTGTGCGTACCCCTTCTGCTGCGCCTCTTGCTCCTCTTGTCGCCGTTGCTGCTTCAACTCGACACGCGCCTGCATCTGCACGCAACCACACACAGCCGACCACACACAAAATGACGGATGGATGGATGGATAGATGGAAATGGACACCCGCGTTCACTTGTGGCTGGGTGCTCACCTCGTCCCACAGGGGTGCAGGGGTGGGTGCCTGGAACTTGTCGAGCAGCTCGCTCGCACCCAGCGTGATGTCGTAGATGCACTCATGACCACGCCTGCATGCAGCATAGCATATGCATCTCACAGACACACATGGACGCATGGCATACAGATGTGGATGTGGTGTGTTTGCCTGCACTCACCAGTGCTTGATCCACTGTTCGAGTGCCTTCTTGAGCTGGTCCTCCCCCTCCTTGCTGATGCCTCCCACAGCACCCACTTCCAACCGAGGAGCAACCAACGGGTAGCTGCACACACACACACACACACACGTGTACAATGATCGATCCATCACACCATCACGTACCTGGGTGTGTACGTGACAATGATGTCGGCGAAGACCTCCTCATTGCGCCCAATGCTGCTGGAGTGCTGCGGGCGGCATCTGACGGTGTACTTGACGTTGAGCGATGTGCTGTCAGTGGGCGAGGAGGGCGCCGACGGGATGGAGGGCGGGTTGGATTCGTCCTCGAAGCAGATGAGGTCGTCGTCCTCTTCATCGTCATGCGTTGGGCGACCCAGGAGACTGGGGGGACCCACACACACACAGAGATTGCGTGCGTCTGCTGCAGACACTTGTGCGCTTCATTCACTCAGCTCATCACCCGGCTTCTTGCAGCTTGATATCGTCCATAAACTGACACACACGCAGTCACACAGCAGGCAGAAGGGCACAGTGATAGTGACAGTGTGGTGGGTGACAGTGTGATTGCCATCTGCCTCACTCACTATAGAGTTGAGTGCCTCCAGTTCGTTCTGCTGGATCTGCCTGCACTCCCTCAGCTGAGCCGGCGTCATGACAGGCTCTTGATCTACGCGACACACACACACACACACACACACACACGACAGACACACAAGCAAGACCATACAACACACACACACATCTGCGTGCACTGTCACGGCCACCTACCTTTCTCCTGCTCCTCTTCCTCTTCCTCTTCGATCTTGAGGTCGAATTCCCATTCCACCGAGTCGTCTTCATCGCGCTCCTCATTATCTCTCCTGCCGCCTCGCTGCTGCCTGTGCTTGTGCTCGCCCTCCGATGGTGAGACTGAGTAAGAGAGGGATGCGTCGCGCTGGCTGGCTTTGATGTGCGCATGGCTGTGCTTGTCCTGCTTGGTCTTGTTTCGCTTCTTCTTGTTGCGGCGGGTCTTGACTTCCAGCCAGCCGCCCTCATCCGCCTCACTCATTGATTGACTCAACTATCTCATCGGCTCACTCACATCCACCAAACACGCTGGCTGATGAAAGAAACCTCAGGCACTTATGCTGGCGGACTGGCTTGGCTCTGTGACGCCCGAAAAAGGCGGGAGGATGACGAAGAGCGAAGTCTGCGAGCTAAGACCGCATTCCGTGAAACTGCTCGTTGGAAGGTTGCTCTCCGATCGGGAAGAGGCAAAGGAGCGAAGAGAGCGACGGCAGAGGCGTTCAGGGCCCGTTGACGCCACAAAACAGCACTCCGATTCATAGCTTTCGCGACTTGGGTGCACGATGGCTGCCAGTGCCGCCGCCCAGGTGACAGAGCTATTTTGTGACAGAGAGGGAGCTGCAGGCCAGGCAAATCCCTACATCATGACGTGAATCACTTGTGCTCTCTGTGTGTGGTTTGTCATTCGGTTTGGTGCAGATGAGCGCGGTGATACGGGCGCGCTGCCGCAGGTTCAAGCCTATCGGCTGAAGCAGGCTCAGGTATCAGCTAACCAACACACATACCGACTCGTCCATTCCATGCAGTGCATCCAAAGCTCAGCGTCTGCTTGCTTGTGTGTGTGTGTGCAGGTCGACAGCTACATCGACCAACTTCTGCAGATGGACACCGCTGCTTCGGTGGCACCACTGGTGCCGCAGGCTGCCACACACACCACACACCACAAGGCCCTCTGTGGGTCTGTGGAGTCTACTTTGCTTGGCGTCGCTCTCGTCGTGTTGTGTCATTCGTCAGATGGTGGCCAAGGTGAGTCGTCAGTTTGCTGCCGTGTCCGACCTGCTGGCCGAGTTGGCAGAGACCGTCAACTCGACCATCGCACTCACAAGACATCGCCGCACACAGGTCAGTGGGGGAGTGACCACAGGCAGGCACAAACACAAGGCCCACACTGATGTGGTGTGCATGGCTTATGCGTGTGTTGTGTGCATGTCCTTCTGTCTGTGTGTCATCAGGCGCGACGGTTGCACCTGACTGACATCCCAGCCAACCCCATGAGCATCGTCATCGCACTGTCTGACCTTACCACCATCGCCCACCTCAAGTCGACAGCTCGAGCCATCAGAGATGCCCTCCGGCCGATCGTCCGCCGCCTTCGGCTGCGGACGGCCATCGAGCGGGCGGGGGCGGGCGGTGTGGTGCAGTTCGACGATCAGCTGAGCCACGGCGATGTGATGAAGGCCATGTGGGTGGTGGGGGAGGGGGGCGAGGGCGGCTGGCGGGAGGTGGGCGACACACTCAGAGTCGCCAAGCATTGCGGCAATTGCCAGCTGCCGGTCACTGTGAGTGCTGGAGACCTGCAGACACACGCCACCAGGGCGGTAAGCACGACACACAGAAGAGGCAATAGGTGAGCTGCCGGATGTGTGTGTTGACTGCAGGATTTCCTGGCACTGCCCCGTTTCTGTGTGCAGTGGATGCTCGTCGGCCGCAATGTGGCCCTCCGCCGCCCCACCGGACAGCAAGACGGCACACTAAAGCTGTTCCGCCACAACAACAACGAGACTCGCGCTATTCGCAATCAGCCCGGCTTCACCATCACCATCAACCCGCCCCTCCCCCTCCCCGGCCGCCCCGTCCATCCCTTCTCGCAGCACCCCTTCACCCACCACGCCAAGCCACACGACCCGCCAGTCCGCTGCCGCTTCTGCTGACAGCCTGGTGTGGGCTGGGCGACGATTGGCGTGTATGGGGCCGTTGACGCATCGGCGAGCTCCATGTTGAAGCGTCGGATGCTGCAATACCGGTTTGAGGCTGTGGGCGGCTTCACCTACTCGCCAGCAGTGGTGGTTGACCGGTGAGTGGATGGACGGCACTCAAATTAGAGGGCGAATGGCTATGTGGTGCGCTATTGATGTGTGTGTCAGTCGTGTGCGTCGTGGCCACTTCGACCGCATCATGACTCGATCGCCACACACGCCCCTCAACGGATGCTCGAACGTGGCGGCATGGGAGGCGGTCAGTGGCCAGTGTGGGCAAGTGCATGTGCTGACAACGGCTGCCGACCCATTCATCGCGTGGATTTCCTTCGACATTCCCCCAGGCAACAACCAGAACGGTACGCACACACATTAACAGCACATGCTCATGCTGCCGTGTCGTTTTTCATTCGCTGTGCTGCTGTGTGCATGCAGTGCACGTCACCATCAGTACCGGCGAGGCACCAGCAGCGGGTGTCCCTCACGATGCCCCCTTCGCCCATCGGTTCCCCCTGACGGCCGCCAAAGCCCGTCGCGTGTTCGGGCCGATCGCAGCCATCGTGCTCTATGGCGAGGCGCCATAGACACACACCCGGTAACATATGAAGGTAAGAGCCCCCCCACATAACACCGGCAGAGTGATATGTATGCACATCTGGTGGCGTGTGCTGTACAGGCTGCCTGGCTGATGATGGATTGAAGGGCCGCACGGCTTAAAGGAAGGGCCCGATGAGCTGGCTGTAGGAGAGAGCGAATGATGGATGAGTCGCCTTTCCCTGTCTGACAGAGATATGAATGCGAAGACTCATCACTTAAATCGATGTCGCACGCATGTCACAACGGGAAAAAAGGACCTCAAAAAACGTCAATATAGATGTAGTCCTAGCAATTCACCACATTTATCCCGCATTACTTCACTCACAGTGAGCACCACGGCTGTCCTCTGCGAGCTCTTCAGCTCTCCCACCTTTTTTAGGGGTCTATTGCATCAACTACGACAGTGGACGGTGTAGTGTGTGGTAGTTGGGGAGAGGAACGGGGCAGGGGATTTAGTTTATGACCTGGTTTGTCAGACAGAAAGACGACTTGTGATGGATGGGATGGGATGTGCCATGCCATGCTATGTGGGAACCACATTCTAGTAATTAAACACATGTATAATTCATCGGAATTTGCGCACGCACCGACCCGCACCGACCCGAACCGAACCGCACCGCACCTGTCTGTCTGTCCGCACACTACACGTACAGGATGAGTCCATCATGCAGCAGCAGATATGAGATGCACATACCACCAGACGCGCAGCCCGTCCTCCCACCCGCCGGCCAGACAGTCAGTCAGTCAGACAGTCAGTCAGCTACTTCTGTGGCGTTCCTTGACGCCAATTTGCCTGCAGAACACGGACCCAACACTCACACAATCCGTACCACCAGGTATCCTCTGCATCATCTGTGTGGGAACGCTGTATCTAAGGCGCCTGGCCGTCGAGCACGATGGCCGCGATGGGCCCGAGGACGCGGCGCACCTTAGCGGCCGTCAGGGGGAACCGCTGGGCGAAGGGCGCATCATTGGCCACACCCACTGCTGGCGCCTCGGTGGTAGTGATGATCACGCGCACTGCACGCACACAACAGCAGAGCAGAGGATCAGACGACACGACAGCATGATGATGGGTTGTTGATGTGTTGTCAATGTGAATGCGTACCGTTCTGGTTGTTGTTTGGTTGGATGCTATAGTTAATCCATGCGATGAATGGGTCGTTGGATGACGTAAGCAGATGCGTCTGCCCACAGACCTCATCGGCCCGCTCCCATGCCACCACGTCCGAGCATCCGTTGAGGGGCGTGTGCGGCGATCGAGTCATGATGCGGTCGAGGTGGCCACCCCGCACACGCCTGACACACACATCAATAGCGCACCACATAGCCATTCGCCCTCTCATTGTATGCCGTCCATCCACTCACCGGTCCACCACCACTGCTGGCGATTCGGTGAAGCCGCCCACAGCAAACACGAGCCGGTGAACCAGCATCAGCTCCTTCAGCAGGGAACTCGCCGATGTGAGAACAGGCGCATCGTTGGCGCCACCTGTCGCCCACCCCACACCATCCTCCCACACAATGCGGTGGCGGACTGGCGGGTCGTGTGGCTTGGCGTGGTGGGTGAAGGGGTGCTGCGAGAAGGGATGGACGGGGCGGCCAGGGAGGGGGAGGAGCGGGTTGATGGCGATGGCGAAGTTGGGCTCGTTGCGGATGGCGCGAGTCTCGTTGTTGTTGTGGCGGAACAGCTCGAGAGTGCCGTCTTGCTGGCCAGTGGGGCGGCGGAGGGCCACATTGCGGCCGACGAGCATCCACTGCTCACAGAACCGGGGCATCGCCAGGAAATCCTGCAGTCAACACACACACATCCAGCAGCTCGCCCATTGCCTCTTCTGTGTATCGCGCTTACCGCCTTGGTGGCGTGTGTCTGGAGGTATCCAACACCCACAGTGACCGGCAGCTGACAATAGCCGAAATGCTCGGCGACTCTGAGTGTGTCGCTCACCTCCCGCCAGCCGCCCTCGCCCCCCTCCTCCACCACCCACATGGCCTTCATCACATCGCCGTGGCTCAGCAAAGGGTCGAACTGCACCACACCGCCCGCCCCCGCCCGCTCGATGGCCTTCGGCAGCCGAAGGCAGCGGACGATCGGCCGGAGGCATTTCTGATGGGCCGGGCTGTCGACTTGAGGTGGGCGACGGCGGTGAGGTCAGCAAGTTCCATGATGACGCTCATGGGCTCGGCAGGGATGTCAGTCAGGTGCAACCGTCGCGCCTGATGACACACAGACAGAAGGACATACACACACACAGCACATAAGAGGTGCACACCAGATCAGTGTGGGTCTTGTGTGTGTGCCTGCCTGTGGTCACTCCCCCACTCACCTGTGTGCGGCGATGTCTTGTGAGTGCGATGGTCGAGTTGATGGTCTCTGCCAACTCGGCCAGCAGGTCGGACACGGCAGCAAACTGACGACTCACCTTGGCCACCATCTGACGAATGAATCAAACGACGAAAGCAGCATGACACAGAGGGCTTGTGGTGTGTTTGGCAGCCTGCCGCATCAGTGGTGCCACCGAAGCCGCGGTGTCCATCTGCAGAAGTTGGTCGATGCAGCTGTTGACCTGCACACCACACACAAGCACGCAGCCGATGAGCTTTGGATGCACTGCATGGAATGGACGAGTCGGTATGTGTTGGTTAGCTGATACCTGAGCCTGCTTCAGCCGATAGCCCTCTACCTGCGGCAGCAGCTGCGCCCGTATCACCGCGCTCATCTGCACCAAACCGAATGACAAACCACACACAGAGAGCACAAGTGATTCACGTCATGATGTAGGGATTTGCCTGGCCTGCAGCTCCCTCTTCTCACCTGGGCGGCGGCACTGGCAGCCATCGTGCAGCCAAGTCGCGAAAGCTATGGATCGGAGTGCTGTTTTGTGGCGTCAACGGGCTCTGCCCTCGTCGTCGCCATGCTACATTCTCTTCGCTCCTTTGCCTCTTGGGCCGGAGGGATGACACTAAGCTCGCAGAGCTGAAGGGTTTCGTGGGCAGCCGGTACAAAAAGTGCTTTCCTCTTTGCCGTTGCCTGCCCGATTATCATGGATGCGGAACAGGGTGAGTTGGAGATCATGGCAGCCGACGTGTCAGACCGTTTGAGGGTGCTGGAGGCATTCAACAGGAGACTCGTCGCCGAGAAGGTGTGCTTGTTGGCCACTGCCATGGCACAGACCCAATTGCACAGACCCGGGTGTTTTCTGCCGATGCAGGTGTCTCGAGACATCGAGATTGCCTCGCTCCGCGCCCAGTTGAATCCCTCCCGCCATCCGTCGTCCACACTGCTGGAATCGATGCCCCTGTTCCACGACAGCGAGCAAGAGGAGGACGGCGAGGAGGACTCTCGGCGGTTCTCGTCGGCCGTCAAGAAAAGGATGGACCAATTGATGGAGCTTGCCACCAAGGTGAGACGAAATCCGATTGCGCCAATGAATGACGTGTACCTTTTGTTTCTCTCCTGCAGGGTGAAAGCCATCCGCCCTTCCGTCGCTCTTCGACCCGCCGTCACACAGCCGACGCCCGGCCTCGATCCGCGATGAGACACCGGAGGATGTCGACGGTAAAGGAAGAGACGGACGTTGACACGGTCGACAGCCGGGTGGGCGAAAGAAAGGCTTCGTCTTCAATGAAGGAAGTCCGTGTGTCTCCTGGTAGGATGAATCAGAGGATTGGCAGGCCAAGTATCGTCAGACAAGGCTTGCAAGGCGATGGCAACAGCTAAGGGTGACCTGAACGAGAAGACAAAAAACAGGCGCACCTCTCAATCACACACATCTTTGCTCCTGCTTCACAGTTTTCGTATTTCGAGACATGTTCTCAACGCAACAGCCCTTCCACGTCAGCACTGTCCTCTCCCGGGCCCTCCCGACCGCCATCACAGCCGCGTCACATGTCATACGCAATGCAGCCCCTGGCAGATGACGCAACTGCAGGTCCCTCCCCCGTCACCGATGCGAGAAGGAGGACCCTCGCGAGACACAGCGTCAGTGGATGGATGGGCGACGCTCCTTTTGCGGGAAGTGGCATGGGGAGGAGGGTGAGTGTGAGTGAAGCGGCTGCTCTGAGCAGGGTGAAGGAAGAAGGGGACAAGGAGCACGTCATGAAGCTGCTGATGGACAGGTACGGAAGGGTGCAAGCGATGCTGGTACTCATCAGCTCTGCGTCCTTTTGCTCGATTCAGTGCCCATCCGGATCTGCGCGAAAGACTGGAAGCGGAAAAGGGGCGGCGCAACCTACTTCAAGTACCGATGAGGGCGTCCCGTGCGACGTCAGAAGCGCCCTCGGACCTTTCCGACAATCGCCTCTCGGCTTACGTTGGAGACGCGCAAACCAGTGAAGTGTCTGACCGAGAGCACGACGAGATGATCATGCAGCAGGCCCTGCTCAGAGTCGCCAGGGCAAAAGAAGATGAAGGCGGGGGAGCGGAACATGCAGTGGAAATACAACCCTCTCCCCAGTTCACTGCTGAGAATCCGCCGCCAGCTTCCAGCTCACATGTGCCATGGGTGCGCTCTCCTAAGCCGAGTGCCATGGCGGCTGATGTTGGGCACTCGGCTGTTGTCGAGTCGGAGATGCAGGCAGATGGAAAAGACAGCAGCAGGCAACAGCCAGGGTAGGCAAACCGAGGAAGGAAGAACTTTGGAGCCCATTTCTTCTCTTTGTCTTGTCCAGGATGCAGCTCATGATACCTCCGTCGCCGCAGGAGCCGCCAACAATCCGCAGGCTTGACGTGCCCGCGGGGGATTTTGCCCAACTGTCTTCACGTGCGCCCTCTGACATGTCTGACAACCGCTTGTCAGCATACCTGGTCCAATCATCCGCTGATGCAAGCGAGTGTGGCGCGGATATGGGCAAGAGGGAACAGGAACAAGCGGCATTGTCTGAGACAGAGGGGCCAGTGCTGGCAACGTAAGCCATCATTCGAATGGTGTGTTACTTCTGAACATCCCCGGTGTCCTGACTTGGCTTTTCAGGCCGAACCACCCATCGGAAACGGCTGTTCGTCCGGTAATACCCATGGAGGCATCTTCACCTACTATTGCAAACCAATCGATCGACTCAAGAGGCACTCTTGGCGCACCAACAGCACTCTCGCCAGCAGCCAGTATCCCTGCGATCAGCAAAAATGACGACAGGGTACCGCAGACTGTCTCGACGCCTCTGGAAGCGAGAGGCAAAGAAACGGAGGTGCTTCGCCAGGTGCAGAAGCCCGCAAGGTAGGGAATGATACCAATTACACTTCACTTCTGAACTCCAATTTGACTTTGCAGGCCGAGCGATCCATTGGAAATGGAAACGCCTCTTGTTTCTTCAGGCATACAGATGGATGCGTCCTCAGCTGCTGCTGCAATGCAAGATGGGTCTGTCGCGCACTCCCATCGATTTCAAACAATCAAGGAGTCGACTCCTGAGAGGGAAACAAGGTGATTGATGGCACTCTAAGGCGAAAAATCATACTGCACGAAATCGTCGTTTCGTTGTTGCGCCACAAAGTAGCTTTCAGACGAAGGTGGAGGCATCGGTAGGCTCGGAAGGGTATCTTCGCTCACCAACAACGCCCGTCCCCGCCACCAACATCCCTGCGATTAGCAAGACACAGAGCACGGTACCCCAATATCTTTCGATGCCTCCGCAACAGATGAAGAGAGACGGAGACGCCGCGAACCACGAATACGGCCGTGATAGGGCGTCGAAAGCAGAAGAGTCGCCCACAGCAGCTGGGAAAGGAGGAGCGGAAGTCCCGATTATCGGTGACGCCGCAGCCGGCTCCCCCAGCAGCCTTTCTGACGCACGGAAATGTGTGCAAGTGGCGTCTCTGGTGAAGAGCGACGATGTGAAAAACGGCGAAATTGGACTAGACGAAGAGTCGACTTCGATGATTCGGAATGGCCGGAACGAAGAAAAGGGACATGTCGACACAGTGGGCAGGAAACATCCTCGAGATGTATGGGCGTCTTCACCAGCAAGCACGAGCCTGACGATTGCCGCCAGCACGAAGGCAGGCACCGCTGCACCAGGCACCACGTCTCGCCACGGCAGCTCTGAGGCGCTGAGGGAGAGCGACGACGCAGCCTCACTCGGCGCTCCATCCCTGGCTCACGGACGATCGGATGAGTCATCTCATGACAAGAAAGACGAGGCCCAAGTAGCTCTGCCAGCGGCCGCCACTGCACCAGCAGCCAAGACGGATGGCACTGTATGGCATGCAGCGAAGGGCGCAATGGTTGACAACGCAAAGGCTGTGGTCCACAGGGGTCAGCCAGCCGGCGGAGCACCTGCCCCCGGTGTCATCGACGGACGTGCGACAGGGCTGCATCAGGGGCGCTGGCCGTCAATGGTTATCGTCAATCGAGGAGATCGCTCGACTGCGCGGCCAACCAATGAAGATGCGACAGCACGACGTGATGTCTCCGTGCTACCTCTACCTGTTGGGGGACAGCATGGCCAGGAGGCAGCTGCTGTGCTGTCTTCGCGTCATGTCTCTCATGTCTTGGCTTCTTCTGGCGTGCACGAAGGCAATGCTGGCACGATTGGCGGGAATGGACCAAGATCGCACCATGCGGAACAATCGACTACAATTGCAGTGGGAGAAGATGGCTTTGCTGAGCAGTTGAAAGAGGAAGATGGAAGGGCACAGGGTGGCTCTGTGCCATCTTTACCTGCTTTAAGTGGAGACGCCTCTCATGCGCTGGAGTCACCTGGCGAAGGTAATGCTGGGATGAGTGACATAAATGGCCCTGGGTTTGTCCGGCAAGGGCAAGGAGCCGATGGTCCATTTGTCGGCTCCGCTTCCAGAGGGCAGGTGCCTTCGTTTGAGGCTCTGCCGATGCCGCCATTCGGAAGGACGGGGTGAGAGCTGTGTGGCATGCATAATCGGGCTGTGCATTCCCTGTCTCTGTGTGACATCTTTCAGGCCACCAGCCACTGTTGCCTTGCTTCCTCCCATGCCGATGCATGTCTCTCCTCCAGCACAAGAGTAAGTCGCACACATGTATGTGTGCAGGTGCATCGAGGGGATGACTTGATTCCCTGCAGCGTGCCGTCGAGTGTTGTTGGACCGCCGATCTCACCTGCTTCGTCGCCCATCATCCTGTCTCCACCTGACAGCATCATCAATGGAAGTGCACACGAAGGAAGGGAAAGCGATGCCGGAGAGCTTCACGACGAGATTGAGAGTGAGGCATCCCCGTCCACCCTCGTCCTTCAAGGCACAGTCCCGCCATCCCCGGCCCTCACACCAATCAAGACGGACACGTTCTCGCCCCCTCCCCCAGCCCCCCTCCTCTCTGCAGAGCCCCAGCACAACTCGTTTCAGCCACCTATGCGGAGGAGGCGCACCACAATCGCCAACTACACCTTTCCCCCTCATCGCATCCCTATCAGAAGGGAGACTTATCCCCATGAGAACCATGTGCTATCGCAAGATGAGGCACAAACACGTGTCAATGAGGAGAGGCTGAGAGCGGAGGGGACCAGGGGGCGCGACGAGTGCGGTGCAAGTGCTGAGCAGGCGCCTCCGACACAGCAGCAGGCCGCCCGGCCACCAGCTGATGAGCCGCGACCATCGTCCATTCGAGTGTCGATCCCGTCGTCTTTGCCACCCCCTGCTGTTTCAACACCTGCCTCCCCCTCAGCTGTCAGCAAAGTCCCCCCAGCGAAAGACATGTCTCTCGCTCCAGGTGACAGTATGAGACGACACGAGTCCAATCGAGCATCGACTCAAGCAGCCGGAGAGAGTGATAGGCTTTCGGCCCTTGTCTCGCCTTTGGCTGCCCACCGGTCGAAAAAAAGCCTTTTGTGGGACGATGATGTGCCAACAAAGAGAGGTGCCCGTGTGATTGAAGACCCATACAGCGCTGTGCCGCCCGAAATCTGGAGGAGGAAGTGGGGCGAGCTGAGAGACAAAAGCAACAATCGCAAACAGAAGAGATACAAACACATTTTCGGACCCGATCGCGAGTCTCTCACGCCCCCCTATGCCATGCGACTGAGTGGCGCGCACCTGCTGATCTCGTCGGTGCAGCGTAGCGGCGAGTGGGAGGAGCTGTGTGGCTACGAGATGAGATTTGATCGATGTGGATGACTTGATGGTTTTGGCAATTGGCCGATGATGAGTGCACTTATACGATCTTCATACGTGCGTGAGTGTCAAAATGTGTGACATCATAGAAAGTCTCCGCCCCAGTCGCTTCACGATTACTATCCGCTCGGCCTCGGGCTCTGCCCTCCCCTTCTGGGAATTCTCGGGCTTGCTCGTAGGCCACGGGGCTGCACCAGCAAGCACCAACACTCACACCCGATGCGTGCGCAAGAGATTCAGCCTACCGAGCTCTTGTCGTCTGCACTGTGTCCATGCTCGTCATCCCTGGACGGATCCCAGCCTCTCCTGGGGCCACGCGGACTTGATTTCTCGCGGGGGCTGACCATACGGCCGACGCCTCGGGGGCTCCTGTTGGTGAAGGCCAACACGTCGGGATCAGAGACTGCGTACGCATCCGTTCTGTTGAGGCGCGCTACGTAGGCCTCAGCCGCTTTCGTGAGCAGGTGCAGAGACAGAGAAATGAGGGTACCGGTCAGAATGACGCGCAAGACCAGAACCCACTCTGCACACACAAGGAGAGGGACAAGCATATCTTACAGCCACTGATAGAGACGATGGCTGCCTACCGGGCGAGAGAAAGGGTAGCATCTCTTCCAGCCAGTTTTGGAAGGCCTTTGACAGCCATTCCAGCCAGTGCCCCTTCAGTGGCGACTCGAATGGAGGAAGAGGGTTCAGGGGGGGGCCCTGAAGCCTGCCCTGTGAGATCGGAAAAGGGCAGCGACATCAGACGGAGGGCTCCTATGCTGAGACTGCCAACTTGGGGGCGAAGCTTCCCGCCCCCACCTCGAGCTCGCGCATGCGCACGGTTCTAGATCATCAAACAGTAACAGTAATGGCATCGCGTGCATCTCGTCGTCGTGCGAGTGACCTGGAGCGTGAAGTGATGAAAAGAGTAGGTTTGGCCATCATGACCAACGACGAGTACCAAAACGAGGTGAATTCAGAGGTCAGACAGCTGCATGGACACCTTGGCAACGTCAAGAAAGAACTGAGGTGAGAGACTACAGCCATTCCCGTGTTGCCATTTCGGCCGTGCGGTGATCGATTGTGTCTGTCTGTCTGTCTGTCTTGTGTTTTGTCTGTGTCTGCCTGGCAGGGACAAGTTGGAGCAGTTCCATGCCGCCGCGGAAGGATTCAGAGTCGCGAAGGTAACAGAATGGGGCTGAGAAGAGATGGACAAGTAGCCATCGTGCGTGTCTGTCTGCAGAACCACACCGCCATCAGCAAGATGGTCAGCGACGAACTCTCAGATTTCCGCAAACAGATGAACGACAAGGAGGCAAAGGTAAGGTGCCATCCTTCCGTCTGCCCCAAGCCACATCCGTACCTTGCCCTTTTTGTTACAGGAGGAGGAGCGCATTCGTTGTCTGTACAAGTCGCTGATCGACGACATGCACGAACCATCCCCACCGCCCCCGTCTGGCGTGCTGGATTACGGACCGATAAGGTGGGAGAGGGACGTCGATATCGATGACCTTATCGAGTGCACAGTCAGGGAAAGATACCCTGCAGGTACACGGAAATGCAAGTGTGGGTGTATGTCTATGTCATGTCTCCCTTCCGTGTGTGTGCGTATGCGTCTATCTGTGTCAGTGGGATATGCTGAGGCGTGGCAGGGGAGGGGCAAGGAACCGATACGCATCATAGCCACGGAAGTGTCTATGCGTCCCGAATCAGCCAGCTCAACATCGGGTACGAGAGACCAGACAATGAATCACTCATCGATACCTACCTATTTGAATACTCTGCAGATGTCCCCGACCGTCAGCTTGCCAACCACCGCAAACCCATCCCCACCCTCCCCTCATCTCCCCCTGCCACACGCATCGACCGGCCAGTCAGCGCCATGCGGCCGCCACAAACAGAAGCCAAGTCGACACAGACCGTCACCGAGGCAGCCACGCAGACGGTGTGCGAGTGGGGAGGGGGCACAGAGACGCCTCTGGACAACAGGAAAGACAGCAGGAGGCGGCGCAAAAGGGAAGTGGACGAGAGGGATGAGCTGCTGACGAACGAGTCTCTGGGGCTGACGAGTGACAGCTTGGCTGTGAGCGCCACCACCGACAGCGACATGCGAGAGCAGCAGCAGGTGGTGGTGCAGATGGTGCCTGCAAGGGCACCGTCCATGCAGACAAAGGAATCGGTGGCCGTTCAGCCGAGCAAGCAGGCAGAAAGGAGGGAAGTGGCACTCCAGATCGAGGTGGGCAGGAGACAGACACGTATATTCTCTCTCATCTCACTGACACACTGCCATCTCATGTGTCATTTCTCTCTTCAGATGGACAGCTCAGTCCATACGCCAGCGTCAGCAGCCAAGTCCACTCAGACACCCTCCCCCGCTTCCCCACGCAGGCCTTCCAGACAAAGAAACCACGATCAGCCCCTCATCACATTCGGCCCTTCACCTGCTGCTGCTGCTGCTGCAGCCCCGCCGCCCTCCGCTCCTCTCCGCCCCCATTTCTCTCAGGCAATCACGCTGTGGAAGGCGGAGTACTTCAAGCACAGAGGCGAGGACAGCCCTGATCGGCTGGATGGGGGTATTCGGGGAGACGTGTTGAGTCTAAGTGGGTCAGTGGATGTGGAGAGGCTGCTGAAGGAGAACGAGGCAAAGCTCAGGCAGTTAGAAAGGATTCGTGTGTGATGGGACATGCATTCACACCGACCACTGTACAGCGTGTCATGGCCATGCCGTCATCAATCGATAAATCCATTACGGGAAGGTCTGTTTGGTCATGACAGTGTAGAAATCGTCAAAGCCGAGCAGACCGTCACCGTCACTGTCGGCCTTGGCGATTATCTCCTGAACAACGCAGAGACGGAAGAACACCAGCTCGTATGTTGCTACCTGGCCTTTATGGCCTCGCCCACCTCTAATTCGGCCATGCCGAGCCCCTCACCTGACGAAATATAGACACAGAGAGAAGACACACGTTCATTCGTCATTCTGGTGTCTATTTTGCCCACTCACCCAGCTCCTTGACAACTTTGGCCAGCCCCTTTACGCTGAGATAACCCGTCCCCTCTGGATCAAACAGCTGAAATATCTGCACAAAGATGCCAACACACAAGTAAGAGACACTCAGTGACACCCCGCAGTCTCTCTCTCTCTCTCTCTCTCTCTGTCTGCCGAGTACCTTTTCCACTTCGCGTCTCTTTTCCTTGTCGTCGTCAGCCGCCATGAGGTCAAGGAACTCGGCGAAGTCGAGCGTGTTGGAGCCGTCCTTGTCCAGCTGAGCCAGCATCTGGAAGATGGTCTCGCTCTTGGCCTCATAACCCAGAGACGCCATCGCCACCTTCAGCTCCTTTGTGTCGATTGTACCTGCCGTCATGCACACACGCGCGATGAAATGCTCATATTGCCGCCTTTCACGTCAACACGCACCTGATTTGTCGGTGTCGAAGAGGTCAAATGCCTCCTTGATGGCCTCGATTTCGTCCTGCTTCAGCCCCGGCCGCTCGAATTGTCTGGCGTTGAAGGCACTCGCCTGGTGACTTCCGAAGGTGGAGCCGAGAATGCTGCCGAGTCCCCTGGTTGTGCTGGTCATCATGGTGGAGGGGGCCTCCTTGCTACTCGTCGTGGACTTGTCCAAGCGTGCCGGCGCCATATGAAAATTCGCGGGAGATTCGGTTGGAAACTGGGTACACGGTCATTCTTGCCCTAATCCATTCAAGTCTGCCGAGGGGAAAAAGGATCCTCCCTCAATCTCCCGGCGCCCCGTGCGTTTTGTGGCGACACACATCAATGCACCACACAAGTGCACACCATGGAAAAGGTGGACGAGTGGAGTTGAGTGGAGCAGTAGACGCTGTGCATGCGTGTGTGCATATCTGTGTATGTGTGTGCGTGGCACACGAAACACAGCTTGAATGCTAACTAACATGGTGTCCAACAAGTTAGAGTCTCGAGGATCTGTCCACCCATGCACACACACTCGTGTTCTCATTCATCCGCAGTACGCTACGCTACCGTCACCTTGAACGGCCCTCTCGTCAACACGTGCAGCTTCTCAGAGCAACTGCATAACACAAAGCAGACACGTCTCCACAGACACAAACACACACACACATGCGCGCATCATCATCCCATTGCGTGTGTGGCTCTCACCTTCATGGTCTAAGGCGCCTGGCCGTCAAGCACGATGGCTGCTATCGGCCCGAGAACGCGACGGGCTTTGGCGGCCGTCCGGGGGAATCGCTGGGCGAAGGGGGCGTCATGAGGGACACCCGCTGCCGCTGGTGCCTCGCTGGTAGTGATGGTGACATGGACTGTATGCAGACAACAGCAGAGCGAATGATGAAACGACACGACAGCATGAGGATGTGTTGTCAATGTCTATGCGTACCGTTCTGGTTGCCTTGGGGGATGTTGAAAGAAATCCATGCGATGAATGGGTCGGCAGCCGTTGTCAGCACATGCACGTGCACACAGGTCCCATTGGCCCACTCCCATGTCAACACGTCCGAGCACTCGTCGAGGGGCGTGTTTGGCGATCGAGTCATGATGCGGTCGAGGTGGCCACCCCGCACACGACTGACACACACATCAATGGCGCACCACATAGCAATTCATTTGCCCTCTCATTGCGTGTCGTCCATCCACTCACCGGTCCAGCACCTCCATTGGCGAGTGGGTGAAGCCGCCCACAGCCTCAAACCGGTGACGCAGCATTAGTTCCTTCAGCATGGAACTCGCCGATGCCTCAACGGCCCCGTCGTTGACACTAACCGGCACCCAGCCCACCCCCCTGCTGCCACCGGATGCGGCTGCGGACTGGCGGGTCGTGCGGCTTGGCGTGGTGGGTGAAGGGGTGCTGTGAGAAGGGATGGATGGGGCGGCCAGGGAGGGGGAGGAGCGGGTTGATGGCGATGGCGAAGTTGGGCTCGTTGCGGATGGCGCGAGTCTCGTTGTTGTTGTGGCGGAACAGCTCGAGTGTGCCGTCTTGCTGGCCGGTGGGGCGGCGGATGACGACACGGCGGCCGACCAGCATCCACTGCGCACAGAAACGGGGCAGCACCAAGAAATCCTGCACCCAACACACAAACATCCAGCAGCTCGCCCATTGCCTCTTCTATGTGTCGTGCTTACCGCCTTGGTGGCGTGTGTCTGCAGGTCTCCAGCACCCACAGTGACCGGCAGCTGGCAATTGCCGCAATGCTTGGCGACTCTGAGTGTGTCGGCCACCTCCACCCAACCGCCCTCGCCCCCCTCCTCCACCACCCACATGGCCTTCATCACATCGCCGTGGCTCAGCTGATCGTCGAACTCCACCACACCACTAACCCCCGCCCGCTCGATGGCCTTCGGCAGCCGAAGGCGGCGGACGATCGGCCGGAGGGCATTTCTGATGGGCCGGGCTGTCGACTTGAGGTGGGCGATGGCGGTGAGGTCAGACAGTGCCAGGATGATGCTCATGGGGTTGGCGGGGATGTCAGTCAGGTGCAGCCGTCGCGCCTGATGACACACAGACAGAAGGACATACACACACACAGCACAAAGGAGGTGCACAACACATCAGTGTGGGTCTTGTGTTTGTGCCTGCCTGTGGTCGCTCCCCCACTCTCTGACCTGTGTGCGGCGATGCCTTGTGAGTGCGATGGTCGAGTTGATGGTCTCTGCCAACTCGGTCAGCAGGTCGGACACAGCAGCAAATTGACGACTCACCTTGGCCACCATCTGACGAATGACTCAACACGACGAGAGAGAGCAACGCCAAGCAAAGGAGACTCCACAGACACACAGAGGGCCTTGTGGTGTGTGGTGTGTTTGGCAGCCTGCCGCACCAGTGGTGCCATCGAAGCAGCGTTGTCCATCTGCAGGAGTTGGTCGATGCAGCTGTTGACCTGCACACCACACACACACAAGCAAGCAGCCGATGAGCTTTGGATGCACTGCATGAAATGGACGAGTTGGTATGTTTGTTGATCAGCTGGCTACCTGAGCCTGCTTCATCCGATAGGCTTGAACCTGCGGCAGCAGCTGCGCCCGTATCGCTGCCATCGTCTGCAGAGATTCGCACGACAAAGCCACAGACAAACATGCCATGGATCAGATCACGCGCTCTGCTCATGCTTTGCTTGGCCTGCAGGCTTCTCTTCCCTCACCTCAGCTCGGCACACTACGGTTCACCCTTGCCCTAATCAACCTTTAAGTCTGCCCTAAAGCAGTAAGCGCCTCCTGCATTTACGAGATCTGCCAGGGATTGCACAAGGTGAGGAGATCCAAACCAGGGCCACCGACATCCACCCGGAACTACGAGTTTGCAGCCATGAAGTGCCTCCTGGCCCTCTCTGTCGCCCTCCTCGTCGCCCTTGCTCATGCAGCCGACTTCTCACGTCCTTCAGCGGCGTTCGTCGGCCCTGTTGCCACATCATCATCACGGTTGGCCACACGTATGCGTGCGCAGCGTCAGGAGCCTCAGCAGCAGCAACAGCTGATGGATCTGCCGCAGCTGGGCGAGGAGGACATTGCCAAGGCGATGGCTGTGTTGAGTCCGCTGATGCTGGGAGATATGGCTATGGCAGCGGAACAATCAGGGGTGAGTGAGAAGATCACGGACAGACAGACAAGTCGGCGTGTTTTGAACGTTTCTTGTGTCTGTGTGAGCAGCCTGATCTCCGTCCTCTGATTCTGCTGTCCCCCGTGCTGATTGCGGCGTCATGGGCCTTCTTCAACGCTGGCAGGGGTATCATCAAGCAGGTCACCGACAAGCTCTAAGCCGCCTCCCTCCCACAGAGCCCACACCGACCTGTTTATCTGTGCTGCTGCTGATTGATCACATGAGGGGCTTCAGAGGCGGGTGTGTGGCAGGGCGGCGGGACATGCGTGTGTGGGGATTTTTGGGCGCTGAAGGGGCACTGACGTGCTCTGGATGGCTCACGTGTGCTGCGAATGTAGTGAGGTCACCGAGGTGTGCGTTTGAGATGAGATGACATGTGTCTGTCTGTTTTTGCGTGGCGACCAGTGAGTGGCTGATTGACTGACACATAGACCGACCGGCCGACCGACAAGCGTGTGAATGCATTGTATCTATACCAATCATCCCATCCATTATGTTATGGTCTCGAACGCGCCTACACCGTCCGTCTCTCTGTCCGTCTTTCCACCAACACGATGTGCAACTAGCATACAGAAGAGAGGTCGTCACGAAAAAGACACACAGTGCGTGTAGGCAGGGCCTGTTCGTTACTCATATCAGTCCACCCCACCCCACCCCACCCCACTCCACTCGACGACGTGATCACGTGCACCCGTGTGTGTCACCATAACCATCCTCTTTTTCACTCGCTCCCTCTCCCTCCGCAGCAGAGAGAGGTGGCAGTGCCAGCAGGGCATGGATATGACAACACGCCACGCGACACACTTATCACGTGTTTGAACGTGCGATCATTACACAGCCAGCCAGTCAGCCAGTAAGAAGGGAAGGAGGGAGATGCGCTGTGTTGCGTGCCACCACGCATGCGACACACCGACTTCCCTCACCGCCTCGTCCATTTCACACATTCATCTCATTCCTGGTCCATTGTATCGTCTTCGCCCTCCTCTCCCTCGGCCTCGATCTTGAGGTCCTCATCGCTCGACTGATCCTCCAACCACTCCTGCACACACCACAGCACAGCAAGACCCACGCGAATACAGGCGGCCTTTCCTCGCTCACAGTCCACGTACGTTTACGTACCTGCCAGTCTTTGGGTCTTTCCTCTTGGCCTGCAGCGGGCTGGGGCTGCCCCTCTGGGGGCGGCGCTGGGGCGGCCTCCAGCTCTTCTTGACGGTCGCTCGCCTCCTTCGCCTTCAACCCACCCCCCACACACAGACAGAGAGAGAGAGAGAGAGAGAGAATGACCCCCCTCCCCCATCCATCCATCC